CTTGGGAAACTCAGCATAATGCATTTGAAAGTCATCCAAGTTGTTTTGTGTGTTAATACTTTGAGAGATTAATAGTTTTTATTGTTCTTTTCTATTGCTGAGTATTATTTCATTGTATAGATAAACCATAGTTTATCCCTTTATCCATCAAAGGACATTTGGGTTGCTTTCAGTTTAGAGTAACTATGAATAGAATTTCTATATACATTTGTGTGAACGTAAATTTTCGTTTCTCCAAGATAAATACTTATGAGTGGGATTTCTGGGTCATATGATAAGTATATGTTTTACTTTAACAGAAACTGCCACACTTTTCAATGGTGACTGTACCATTTTGCATGCTACCCAGCAATGTTTAAGAGTCTCATTTGGTCTACTTCCTAGTTAGCACTTGGTATTGGTAGTATTTTTCATGTTAGCTACTCCAGTAGATATGTAGTGGAATCTTATTGCAGTTTGTTGTTGTGTGTGTTTTTTTTGTTTGTTTTTTTGTGTTTTTTTGAGACAAAGAGTCTTACTCTGTCACCCAGGCTGGCGTGATCTTGGTTTACTGCAACCTCCATTTCCCTGGTTCAAGCAATTCCCCTGCCTCAATCTCCTGAGTAGCTGGGATTGCAGGTGTGTTCCACCACACCCGACTAATTTTTTTGCATTTTTAGTAGAGAAACGGTTTCCCCATGTTGGTCAGGCTGGTCTCGAACTCTTGACTTCATGATCTACCTGCCTCGGCCTCCCAAAGTGCTGGGATTACAGGCATGAGCCACCGCACCCAGCCTTGATTATGGTTTTAATTTACATTTTCTTGAACTCCTGACCTCAGGTGATCCACCCACCTCCTCCCAAAGTGCTAGGATTACAGGCGTGAGCCACCGCCCGGCCTTAATTTATATTTCCTTAATGGCTGCCGATGTTGAAATCTTATCTGTCATTCCTATGTCCTCCTTTTAGATGAAGAGGATTTTTTGCTCATTATTTAATTAGGTTATTTTCATACTCTTGACTTGGAGAATAATTTATATATACTTTTGCAGTGTGAAAGTCTGGCTTTTCTCTTCTTTTTACCTTTTATGCTTTTTTAAAAAAAAAAAACTTTATGGAGTTATAACTCCCATTTCGTAAAACTTACCCTGTTTTAAAACATGTATAGTTGGCTGGGCGCAATGACTCACGCCTGTAATCCCAGCACTTTGGGAGGCCAAGGCGGGTGGATCACGAGGTCAAGAGATCGAGACCATGCTGGTCAACATGGTGAAACCCCGTCTCTACTAAAAATACAAAAAAAAAAAAATTAGCTGGGCATGGTGGTGCATGCCTGTAATCCCAGCTACTCAGGAGGCTGAGGCAGGAGAATTGCCTGAACCCAGGAGGCGGAGGTTGCGGTGAGCTGAGATCGTGCCATTGCACTCCAGCCTGGGTAACAACGGCGAAACTCCGTCTCAAAAAAAAAAAAAAAAAACATGTATAGTTTTCCCGAGCGCAGTGGCTCATACCTGTAATCCCAGCACTTTGGGAGGCTGAGGCAGGTTTGGAAACCTGAAGTCAGGAGTTTTAGACCTGCCTTGCCAACATGGTAAAACTCTGTTTCTACTAAAAATACAAAAACTAGCTGAGCATGGTGGTGGGCGCCTGTACTCCAGCTACTCGGGAGACTGAGGCAGGAGAATTGCTTGACCTCAGGAGGCAGAGATTATAGTGAGCTGAGATTGCGCCACTGCACTCTAGCTTGGGTGATAGAGTGAGACTCCATCTCAAAAACAGAAAATGTGTATAATTCAATGATATTTTAGCAAATGTACACGTTGTACAATCCAGTTGTAGAACATTTATGTCACCTAAAAGATTGCCTGTATTAGTTTGTAGTCCGTCAACATTCCTTCCACTGATCCCAGAAAACTAGTTATCTGCCTTGCATCTTTATATATTTGCTCTTTCTGGACATTTTATATGGAAGGAATCATGCACTGTATATACTTTTCTCACATATAGTGTAATGTTTTTATTGCTTTATAGAGCTATAATCCACATATTATAAAATTCACCCATTTAAAGTTTAGAAATCAGTGGATTTTAGTATATTCTCAGAGTTCTTCGGTCATCAGCACAGTCTAATCTTAGAACATTTTCATCATCCTACAAAGAAATCCTAGAGCCATTAGGAGTCACTCTATTCCTCTCTCCACCCCAGCTTTAGGCTACCACTTTCTGTCTGTATGGATTTACCTATTCTAGACATTTAATCTAAATGGAATCAAACAATACGTATTACTTTTGACTTTTTTCATTTGGCATAATGTTTTCTTTCTCTCTTTTTTTTCTCTCTCTCTTGTTTTTTGATGGAGTCAAAATTGTGTTTCTATACATTTTCGTTTGTTTGTTTTGAGACCGAGTCTCACTGTGTCACCCAGGCTGGAGTGTAGTGGTGCGATCTTGGCTCACTGAAACGTCTGCCTCCTGGGTTCAAGCAATTCTGCCTCAGCCTCCTAAGCAGCTGGGATTACAGGCACATGCCACCATGCCTGTGGCTAGTTTTTGTATTTTTAGTAGAGATGGCGTTTCACCATGTTGGTCAGGCTGGTCTCGAACTCCTGATCTTCTGATCTGCCCACCTTGGCCTCCCAAAGTTCTGGGATTATAGGTGTGAGCCGCTCTGCCAGGGCTCCCTCTTCCCTCCCCCTCGATGATGAAGAATAGGGTGGTGAGTGCGAAGGATTCCATAGGTCAGATGAGAAAAAAATTGTCTTTACATGTGCAAAAATACACATTCAGATTCTGTCATTAAGTTGCAAGAATTGGATACCAAAGAAGGTTTTAACATCATTAATGAGGCTCCAGTTGTTCATTCATTGACCAGTGGTGAAATAGCCAGAATGGTTCTGAATCAAGGTGATTTTGGTAATAGTGACAACGAAGGTGGCATTGTTAAAACTGCAGAAAAAGTGCCTATAGGCAAAATGGTAAAAATGCATCATGGCCTCATTGAAGGACTAGAGTAGCATGCATTCATAACAGAACAACAAGTCACATCGCGCGTCGATTTATAAAATCAAAGAGTTCTAAGACACATGATCCCATTCCTGAACTACTGCGTAGTTTGCTGCTGCTTATTTGGTTCTCAATGTAATTCATTTTTTTTTTTCATGTAATAATGGTCTTTTAAATGGAAATCAGCAGCCTGGCCAACATGACAAAACCCTGTCTCTCCTGAAAATACAAACATTAGCCAGGCATGGTGGTGTACACCTTGTGATCCCAGCTACTCAGGTGACTGAAGCAGGAGAATCGCTTGAACCCGGGAGGCCGAGGTTGCAGTGATTCGAGATCACAATACTGTGCTCCAGCCTTGGCGACAAAGTGAGACCCTGCCTCAAGGGGAAAAAAAAAAAAGAAAGAAATCAGACCATATGGCCACCCTGCTTAAAACTGTTCACTGGCTTTCCATTGTACTTGGAATAGAATCCTAAATCCCTAAACACTTAATCTGGCCAGCCACTGTCTACCTTACTTTGTTTCATGCTCTTCTTCTGACTTCCTTAACAGTAGCCATGCTTCTTATTTCCTGTACATACCAGGTTCTTTTCCTGCCTCAGGGGTTTTTGCATTGAACTTGCTAACATTTTCTCTACTGAGAATGCCCCTCCTTACCCCTGTCTTTGCTTAGATTCTTCCTTTGCTTCTGGCCTTAGTTTGTCACATTCATTAAAGTAATGTACATTCCCACCTCAACCTAGTAAAGAGATTTGCAGAAACTGAAATGCTACTCTTATCTACTTAATTCTCTTTTGAAAAATAGTTATTTTTAAGTAAAAATATGTTATTAACATAATGGGTTTATTACTTTAGAATTAATAGATATTCAAATTTCTCAGTAAAAAACTTTCAGGTATAATTTTTAATGTGGTAAATAAATATAACACAAACAAAAGGCCTTTGGAGAGCTTAGTAATTTTAATTTTTAATTATGACAAAGCATACATCATAGAATTTACCGTTTTAACTATTCCTAGATGTACAGTTCAATAGGACTAAATATATTCATAATGTTGTACAGCCATTCATTTGCAGAACTAGACTTCCAGAACTAGAAAAATTCTAAATATTTCATGTAAGTAGAATTGCACAATATATACCTTGATGTGTCTGGCTTATTTCACTTGGCATCATATTTTTGAGGCCCATTTACATTGTAGCATACATAAAAATTTCTTTTGATGGCTAAGTAATATTTCATTACATGTATATACCACATTTTAACTATTTATCTCCTCTTTATTCCAAATTATAAGTAATTGAAAATGTAACTAATTATTGGTAATTTAAATAGAAGATATATTGATGAAATAGTAAATCAAATGGTACAGAGTTGACATATGGATAGAATGTGGATGATGATGATCCTTTCCCATACATTTTTTTCTATAATCCAGAGAATGAGGTATTCAATCTGGTATTTGAAATTCTTAATCATAATTGTGGTAACCTTTAGTCATCTAACTATTTGCCCCTTGATGTTGAAAGTACTGACTTTATAAAGGATAATTTCATTGAAAACATAGACTTTGTTCTTTTAAATAGTTAATAATTACAATAAAGTCATTCTTTCTCTAATGAGATTAAGTTACCATTTTATTTTTCAATTTTATCTAAGGCTATTTCAGTTCTGCCATCCTATTATCTTACCCTGTTACTTTCATTGACCTAGAACAGGGGCTGGTACATAGCAAGTGCTTAATAAATATTTACTGAGTGAATGAGTATTCTCAGATACACAGTTACAAACACTCTTTAATATTGTTTTTGTAGATCATTCATTAATGTCATCTATTATTTGTAGGTTTTGCTAGTTTCTCATAAAGCACTATCATTTTCAGGTTTTTAAATTTTCTTTACCTTTCTTCCTGTTTATTAACAAAGACTAGGCTTTTTGCCTTAAAAACTTTTAACAGTCAAAAGTTTTCAACACCATATTGCCGTATTTTTAACCTTTTTTAAGCTATAATAGAGACATCGTCGTTAGCAAAGGCAGTTATTTCTTGGCTTCTGTGCTTATGAATCAGATGACAGCTATTTCTTTGACTTTGGCTTTGTGGTTTCTTGAACTATTTCAGTGATGTAAAAGATGAGTCTTAATAGGCGTTTCCCTTCTTTTAAAAGTGTAGTTCATGTTTTGTTGTAAACAGGTTTTCTCCAAGGAAACTTTTCTCTGTAATCTCACCTCATCATCTCCGTATAAAATAGAGATAATTAATCCCTACATTATTTTATTATTAGGCTATTTGTTATACGTATGTATGTTGGTTTTTATTTTACTCATTTATATTTTGAAAGTATTCCCAGAGATTTTGAAGTAACTCCATTCTGATTGAGTCTTTCACTGTTTGCCAGAAATTTTCCTTTAGGTCTGTCTCCACCCACTTTGGGAATTGTGAATGTTCACCATTTTATTGGTTCCCTCTGGCCACTGAGTACATGAGTAAATGTCATGTGTTACTGCTTGTCAGAGAATGGAATTCTAAGACTTCCTCTTTACACAGAACAGTTTAACTTTTGTGCTTCTGGGAAGAGGTATGGTCCTTGGGACAGTTCTCCTTCCACCTAATAATTATGGCAGAGAACAGGACACTTCACTTTGCTGTCTGTGTACTGAGACCTCAGAATCTGCTCTACCCAACTTGACAGGTATGGTTCAGAGTTGATAGTTTGGGGGAGTCTTGATAACCGCATTAATCAAGTGTGAATGAAGATTTCAAAAAATTAACCTTATCTACTCTTTTTGTCTTCATTCTTGGTCAGTGAAGGTTTATGTGCTTTCTTGGGGGAATATCTCATAGTAGGAATTCAGTAAATACTGATGGAAGAATGTATGAATAGTATGTAATATTCTGTAATAGTAAGATATAGATGGCTTGATGTGAAGAACTTATACTGAAAACTGTTGAATAATTTAACTACCTTATATAATTTTTAAAAGAAGTTATTAAAACTTATTAGGTTCTTAGAGAATGTACAGTCAGATAAAGTAGAATTTTGGCAAGATAAATGTTTATAAAATACTTGAAAATGCTTAAACTGAAAATTTTTAGTATTAATTTCTCCAATTACTACCTGTCAAATTTCTAATTAAACTGATAAAAGTTATTGAATGACCAATTAGTGAAAAGTGTTTTTAATAAAATTAAACATTAAGCTTAGGAATTTTCTCAATTTCAGTTTTATTATTTGGGGTTTTAACTTGTTTAATCATGATTATTTTGTACAAACAGCTATTCTGTTTTACTTTATTTATGTTGTAGCCTGCAAATGTAGCAACAGAAAAAAATTCTTTTCTTAATTGTAATAATGTGTTTCTGTTACCTACATTCTTTACATAAGTGAAATTCAGTCTTCTCCCATCTTAAGTTTCTGATCTACCTCTCTAACAGTGAATAATGGAAGATTAGTTAACTTGATATCAAAGTTACCAAATTTATAGTAGTCATTTCGTTTCGTTCAAAAATAAACCATTCCCAGCCCACACACTTGCATTTGGGCTTGTACAGTACCTCTGACTCATCCAGACACGTCTGTCTGTATCAGTGAGGAAAGTGACATAGACTAGGGCTGCTGGGTAACACTGACATTTACTTGCTCTTCCCACAGGCTTTTGTTTTCTTTTTTTGCCTTTATCCCTCAGCTTGTTCCACCTCATTTAGTTCCTTTACTCTTTATTATTCAAAATATGTTCGTTCTTAGCTTCAGAAAAATGTTAGGATGTTTTTCTCTTTGAAAAAGTTTTCCTTTTGTTTGGTGCTACTGGGTAGAATGGTGTTTAAGTGGATATCCTGTGCAGACAGATTGTGCAGGAAATTGACCCTAATTCTTTGAGAACAAAAAAAGAGTGGGAAGAAAGAAAGAAAGAAAGGAAATGAGATCTTTGACTTAACCAAAAAGACCATAAAACCAGAGATGGGAAGAAGGGGAATGGGGAATAAAAAGGATTGTTTTCCCAGTTGTGGTTGTTTTAGTACTTTGGCCTCAAAAATTACTTTTATCCTATAGTTATTACTTTTTCTGTTTCAGAAATAGGATATTATTTGAACTGTATATGTCTTAAATTTACATAAAATTTGTGCTGTGGATCTCATTCTGTTTTCTCCTTTTGTTAGATAAGAAATTTTTAGGAAGTTGACTTGTCTCTAAGAGTCCTCTTTTGGGTTCAGAGTTCCTCCTTATTATAGACATGTCCTTGCAAATTGACAGTCTATCACTCTACTGTCGTCAGTGCAGAATTCCTATTGATCTATTTTTTTTTTTTTTTTAAGATAGAGTTTGGCTCTGTTGCCCAGACTGGAGTGCAATGGTGTGATCTCGGCTCACTGCATCCTTGACCTCCCAGACTCAGGCAATCCTCCTACCTCAGCCTCCTGGGTAGCTGGGACTACAGTTGTGTGCTACTATACCTGGCTTATTTTTATTTTTTTTATTTTTTTCCGAGACAGAGTCTTGCTCTGTCACCCAGCTTGGAGTGCCGTGCTCTGATCTTAGCTCACTGCAACCTCTGCCTCCCAGGTTTAAGCAATTCTCCTGCTTCAGCCTCCTGAGTATCTGGGATTACAGACACCTACCACCACACCCAGCTATTGTTTATATTTTTAGCAAAGACAGGTTTTCACCATGTTGGCCAGGCTGGTCTCGAACTCCTGACCTCAGGTGATCCACCTGCCTCAGTCTCCCAAAGTGCTGGGATTACAGGTGTGAGCCACCATCCCTGGCTCAGTTTTTAAATTTTTTATAGTGATGAAGTCTCATGATACTGCCCAGGCTGGTCTTGAACTCCTGGCTTCAGGCAATCCTCCTGCCTTGGGCTTTTCAAAGTGCTGAGATTATAGGAATGAGTTACTCTGCCCAGCCTGTGTTCATCCAGTTTAAATACTTATCTCATTTGAAGTCCAAAAACTTGCCTGACTCTGGAGTTTTGTTTTATATTCTGTCCTCTCATAGCGTCCTCTGTGAGGAAGGATGTATACATAATTCAGTCATTCAGCAAACCTTTTTGAGAGCCGCTTATCCATAGGCACTGTTCTGGAGTCACTGTTCAGAGAAAAAAACTGACAAAATTCCTTGTCCTCCTAAAACTTAACATTTTGGCAGGGAAACTTAGATACATTAATATAACAAATGAGTAAATTATACATTATGTTTGGTGATAATAAGAGTTATGGAGATAAATCAGGAAAGGAGTCAGTGGGGGATGTGAGAGTGTTATCAGGAAAAGATGTCCTTTAAAATGGAATAGACAGAGAATGCTATACTGAGAAGGTAACATTTGGTGAAATGTCATGGGGTGATGGTGGTAACGAAGTGGTGTTGAATACGAAGTGGTTAGATTCTGGATATATTTTTGAAGGTAATGCCAATAGAATTTCTGAGTGGATTGGAATTATATGTGAGAGCAAGGAGCCATAAAGGATTCCATGGTTTTTGGCCTCAACACTTGAAAAGACAGAATTGCCATTAATTGAAATGGGGAATTCTGAGAAGGAAACTAATTTGGCAGGGAGAATGGATAGTAGTTTTGTATTTTAGTCCAAATGGCATTATTGGTGATTTCTTTTTTTTTTCTTTTGGAGACGGAGTTTCGCTCTTGTTACCAGGCTGGAGTGCAATGGCGCAATCTCGGCTCACCACAACCTCCGCCTCCTGGGTTCAAGCAATTCTCCTGCCTCAGCCTCCCGAGTAGCTGGGATTACAGGCATGCGCCACCATGCCCAGCTAATTTTTGTATTTTTAGTAGAGACGGGGGTTCACCTTGTTGACCAGGATGGTCTCGATCTCTTGACCTCATGATACACCCGCCTCAGCCTCCCAAAGTGCTGGGATTATAGGCGTGAGCCACTGCGCCCGGCCTATTGGTGATTCTAATCACTAATTGCTAATTTCTAAACCCAGTACAGTGCCTTGCATGTGGTGTTCACTCAAATTACTAGGGATTTCTTTTCCCCCAGTAAACATTTAAAATAATTAAACGGGCCTGGCTTGGTGGCTCACGCCTGTAATCCCAGCACTTTGGGAGACTGAGGCGGGTGGATCACAAGGTCAAGAGATCGAGACCATCCTGGTCAACATGGTGAAACCCCGTCTCTACTAAAAATACAAAAATTAGCTGGGCATGGTGGCGCACGCCTGTAATCCCAGCTACTCGGGAGGCTGAGGCAGGAGAGTTGCCTGAATCCAGGAGGCGGAGGTTGCGGTGAGCTGAGATTGCGCCATTGCACTCCAGCCTGGGTAACAAGAGCAAAACTCCATCTCAAAAAAATAAATAATAATAATAATCATTATTATTATTAAACAGGCTGGGCGCAGTAGCTCATGCTTGTAATCCCAGCATTTCGGGAGGCTGGGGCAGGTGGATTGCTTGAGCTCAGGAGTTCGAGACCAGCCTGGGCAACACCTTGTCTCAATAAAAATAATAATTAATATCTGACAGCCATTGGAAAACTCTCCTAAACTAGCAACATTTTTGAGCTTGAAAAGAACTCCTCAGTGTCATTCAAGCTATCAGGGTGTAGTCAAAGTAACTGAGTTATCAGCATGATTAATATCCAGGCAGGAGGCAGGTTTCATAGAGGTTTAATGCTGTGTACTTAAAACACCCCAGCTGTTTTCAGAAATATAAGAAATGTTAAGTTGCACTGTGGATTCCCTCAGTGTCCATCCTGAGAGCTTGGGCTGTTCCAGATACAGTAGGTGCTGAGATGGGAGGAGCTGGCACCAGCAGGCACCAGAGGAGTTCGTGGAGGTGTCAGTTTAATTAATTGTCCTTCTTAAACTACGTGTTGATGTAAGGCACCCAGTCCAGAATCGGCCTCTAGTCAGTGACCTACACCAGCCCCACAGTGCCCACAGCGCCCCTTATGCCCACTGTGGGAATCCAGTTCTTTGCCAGCTCCTGGTAGTGTGAGCCCAGGAAGCTGCTCAATATTGCCTCACCGTCCTCACCCTCAGGTGATCAAATTACTGTTTTGTAAACTTTAAAATTAATTATTATTTTTTTTTTAATGATGACGGGCTTTTACATATTGGCCGGGCTGGTGTCGACCTCCCAACCTCAGGTGATCTGTCCGCCTCAGCCTCCCAAAGTTCTGAGATTACAGGTGTGAGTCACCATACCTGGCCAACTTTTAAATTTAATATACTGAGTTTCACAAAGTAAGGTATAAATATATGGCCTTTGCTGGTTTTACCTTGATAGGGGTTAAGAGTTGGCTTCAGTGTTTGCTTATTGCTCTTTCTAACTTGGTCATTGATAGTACCAAAGTTCTTTTTAAAACTGTTGAGTTTTTGTTCTTCTTAAAATTTCAAGCAAGAGGAACTTTTCCTGTACTGCAAAGAATGAAATAAACTGTTTGATATCATTAAACAGAGTGTTACCAGTGTCACTGGCAAAAAAAACAAAACAAAACAGTGTGGATTATGTAGTGTTCAGTAATGGATGCTAACAAATAAGGATATTTTCTGTACTTTTTGGCATTGTTTTCATTTTAATAAAGGATTGGCATTTGTAGCTTAGTGGAAATGATGCTAAAGTAGATAATTTTTTCATTAGAATAAAGACATATGGTATATGCAACCAGTTTTGTTTTTTTGTTTTTTTTTAATATGCAACCGGTTTGAAGAATGCCTTTTACAATAAGGATTTTTGTTAATTTGGTCATCCCAAATTGTCTGTATTGGTATAGAATACAGCTGTTCCCATTCACTATAATTCTGCATTTAAATAAGGAGCAACGTGTCTACTTTAACTCTTCAGGATGTCAGAACATTTCTTTAAGTTTATCATAATATTAATGGAAAATAAAATTGAATTAACTGGAATTTTAAATATATATTCTTTTCGAGAGAAGAAGGGAATATGAAACTCTGAAACTGGAGAATTACAGAGCCAACCTGTGTGTATATTATGTAGACAGTTAAGAAGCCATTTTGTTTTTTTTTTTCAGGCAGGGTCTCACCCTGTTGCCCAGGCTGGAAGGCAGTGGTGTGCTCTTGGCTCACTGCAATCTCCATCTCCCAGGCTCAAGTGATTCTTCTGCCTCAGCCTCCTGAGTAGCTGGGATTATAGGCACGCACCACCATGCCTGGCTAATTTTTGTATTTTTAATAGAGACGGAGTTTCACTGTGTTGGCCAGGCTGGTCTCCAACTCCAGACCTCAGGTAATCCACCTGCCTCACTCTCCCAAAGTGCTGGGATCACAGGCATGAGCCACTGCCCCTGGCGGAAGCCAATTTTTAAACATTGTTTAACATGATTTTAAGATTAAGAGCCTGAGTATGGTGGCTCATGCCTGTAATCCCAGCACTTTGGGAGGCTGAGGTGGTCAGATCACAAAGTCAAGAGATCGAGACCATCCTGGCCAGCATGGTGAGACACTGTCTCTACTAAAAATACAAAAATTAGCCAGGCATGGTGGCAGGTGCTGTAGTTCCACCTACTTGGGAGGCTGAAGCAGGGGAACTGCTTGAACCCGGGAGGTGGAGAATTGCAGTGAGCCAAGATTGCGCACTGCACTTCAGCCTCATAGCAGAGTAAGACTCCATCCCCCCTACCCCCCCCAAAAAAGATAGATACATCTTTTTTCCTGTCACTTATGTTTGTGTAACTTGGTCTTTTGTTTAGCTAACAGTTATTAAACACATAGTATGTAACTCTGGGTAGGAAAAGAATACCATTCCAGATACAAGGAGCATGTTGTGAAGTTTCGGAAACAAACATACGTAGAATGGTAGGATGTATTATGAATATAGAGATGAAGACAGAGTATTAATGCAGCCATGGTGATGCTTTTGAGAGCACAGAGGGGAGGTGCAGTAGCCCCCATTATCCACAGTTTTGCTTTATGCAGTTTCAGTTACCGGCACTCTTCCTGGGTCTGAAAGTAATAAGATATTTTGAGGGGAAAAGATACCGCATTCACGTAAATTTTATTACAGTATATTGTTGTAATTTTTTTTATTGTTGTTAATCTCTTACTGAGCCTAATTTATAAATTAAACCATATCATGGTTATGTATGTATAGGAAAAACATAGTATATAGTGGGTTTGGTACTGTCATGATTTTAAGCATCCAGTGGGGGTCCTGGAACATATTCCTCTGGATGAGGGGTGCTACTGTATATTGGAGCTGAGTATTACAAGTAGAAATCAGCCAGTCAGAAGAATAGTGAGGGCTGGGCACAGCAGCTCACGCCTGTAATTCCAGCAGTTGGGAGGCCGAGGCAGGTGGATCATGAAGTCAAGAGTTGAAGACCAGCCTAGCCAGCACAGTGAAACCCCATCTTATTGAAAAAAAAAAAAAAAGAAAAGAAAAGTGGGGTGAGAACCCATTCCAGTTAGTCTGGACTGTGTGAACGAAGGGCAGAGGTGGGAAGCAGCATGATGTATGTTCAAGTTTACAGTCTGAGGTATGGAGTGGGGAGAGGCGAAGCTGGAGAAGTAGGTAGAGAGCTGATCATGAAAGGCCTTTGAAGGCCATGATAAGGAGACTTTAGCTGATGTTAAACTAATGAAGAAGCTTAAGAAAAGTGACGTGGTCAAATTTTTGTCTTAAATAGATCACTTTGCCAGCTGTGTGGAGGATGGATTTGAGGGAGACAAGACTGGAGGCAGTAGTCCAGGTGAGAGATGTTGAGATGTTGGGGATTTGAACTAAGGCATTGGCAGTAAAGTTGGAGAACAGGGAATGGATTTGAAAATAACTAGAACCACAAATTCAAGATTTTTTTTTCTTTCATATATGATAAAACCATTTTTATATTAAAAATAAGTTGGCTGGGCACAATGCCTCACACCTGTAATCCCAGCACGTTGGAAGGCCAAGGTGGGTGGATCACCTGAGATCAGGAGTTTGAGACCAGCCTGGCCAATGGTGAAGGCCCATCTCTACTAAAAATACAAAAAAATTAGCTGGGCATGGTGGTGGGCACCTGTAATCCCAGCTACTTGGGAGGCTGAGGTAGAATTGTTGAACTTGGGAGGCAGAGGTTTCAATGAGCTGAGATCATGCCATTGCACTCTAGCCTGGGCAAGAAGAGCGAAACTCTTATCTCAAAAAAAGAAAAAAAAAAAAGTGGAGGAAGAGAGACTTAAAAGTGTAGTTGTGTGACACAGATAGTTGGATAGTTTCCCTTTGTAGACAGGCACTAAAAACAGTCTGATCAAGAAAATTGATACTGGAAGAACAGTGTGTTTTTGTGTAATAGATCTGGGCTGTGAGAAGCAGGTGATCTTTAACTAAGATGGTATAGGGATCACCCGTAGTGTGTACTGTGAATCAATTTAGAAACTGTAAAGCCTTGAGGAAAAAACAGGCCTTAAGAGACTTGGACAATATCGAGTAGAAAATAAATGCCCGATGATAGTAATATTTTCTAGGCTCTTCAATTAAGTTATTGATATTTACAAAAATTTACTGCCCAGGAAAACAAAATAGAGTTTAAAAAAGTCATTCAGGCCGAACGGGGTGGCTCAGTCCTGTAATCCTCAGCACTGTGGGAGGCAGGCAGATCACCTGAGGTCAGGAGTTCAAGACCAGCCTGGCCAACATAGTGAAACCCCATCTCTACAAAAAATAAAAAAATTAGCCTGGCATGATGGCAGGTGCCTATGATCACAGATACTCAAGAGGCTGAGGCAGAAGAATCGCTTGAACCCTGGAGGCGGAGGTTGCAGTGAGCCGAGATCGCACCATTACATTCCAGCCTGGGCGATGGAGTAAGACTCTGCCTCAAAAAAAAAAAAAAGGTCATTCAAATAAGGAACAATTGCAAGCTATTATTGAATTGTGCACATTAACTTAAAGGTATTTTGTAATGCTAAGACATGTTTCTTTTGTTTTGCAGATCATTTTAGGACTGGTTTTCTAAAAGCACTTTAAAAATAATTATTTCTGTACTTAAATAGAGGGCCTGTTTTTATACATTATTATATATTCTGAAAAATAATTCCTGTTGTTTTTTCTACAGTTTGTTTTCTGTGGAGAGAGAAAGGGAGTACGAGTAGTTTGGGTGGACTTGGAAGAAACTTACAATCATTTCTTCCTTAAAACTACAACCACCACTATAACAAAATATCCTATATGTTTTATAAAGCTAGTAATGGTTTCTCTTTAAGATTCTCTTTTCCATTTTGAGAAAACTGCATTTTCTATTAGTTTATGTCTGATTTTGCTGAGTGCATATAAATCGCAGCCAAACTCTGATTTTTGTGGGTTTTTTTTCTCTGACTACCTTATTTTCAACAAGTAAATGGCTTCCGCATGCTCAGGAGACACAATGCCTATTTGCTTATTCTTCATAACACCATACACTGTATAGTTCTTTCCTACTCTGGAGCCAGCAGCTGAAATACTGTGTATGTACTGAATTCAAACAGATGTTTCACTGTTGAACTCACCGTGATTTTCGTTTCCTTGTTATGTCTTTCAGAAGCTTTGCATCGTCCCTACGGTTGTGATCTTGAACCCCAGGCACTAAATGAGGCTATCAGGTGGAGCTCCAAGGAGAACTTGCTGGGAGCCACTGAGAGTGACCCCAATCTTTTTGTTGCACTTTATGATTTTGTAGCAAGTGGTGATAACACACTCAGCATCACTAAAGGTGAGGCCTATATGTAACATCCTCTCACTTTTCAGTTTTCATTAAGAGATAAAGGGCCTGGCCAGGCATGGTAGTTCACACCTATAATCTCAGCACTTTGGAAGGCCAAGGCAGACAGTTCACTTGAGGTCAGGAGTTCGAGACCAGTCTGGCCAACATGGCAAAACCCCATCTCTACTAAAAACATGGAAAAAATTAGTCAGGTATGGTAGTACACACCTGTAGTCCCAGCTACTTGGGAGGCTGAGGCACGAGAATCGCTTGAACCTAGAAGGCAGAGGTTGCAGTGAGCCAAGATTGCGCCACTGCACACCAGACTGGGTGACAGAGTGAGACTGTCTCAAAAAAAAAAAAAGTCTTGAAATACATTTTTTCCCCCAGTAGTGGTTTTTATACGTTCAAAAGGCAAGAATAAGCTTAGGCAGACTAGCAGTCCAATTCATGTACACAAGGAGAATGTCCCCATAATCTTATTTCTTTCTCAAAAAGTTATTTTTTCCCTTGTGCGCGCGTACACACACACACACACACACACACACACACACACACTATCAATAATGGTTGCTTTATTTGGTCATGTTCATAATATTCCCTTTTATAAGAATTTACCATGGAAATAAACTACTACTCTCCTGAGAATATTACTATAACAGAAATCAAAAAAAAAGAAACCATTCCTACCATTCCTTTCACTGATCTATATAAACACAAATAGACATATGTTGTCTAGGCCAGTACTATTCAAAAATGGTCCACAACAAGTTAAGATGCTTATGCCAGAATGTGAAACACTGGGCTGCTATCTTCATGCAGAAAGTCTTGCCTCACAAGGTGAAACTATTATTGAACTAAATAATAGTGTGCTTAGTGATGTAGTTGGTTTACATATGGGTGCAAGTTATTAATCTCACTGTGGACTAGTAATGAATGAACAGTCCTCAGGCAGTCAAGTCCACAGATAACATTCTGAGTAGTGCTGAGATTTGGCAACATGGCTCATCTTAGCCACAGTTTGATTAGAATGGTAGCTCATGCCTATAAGCCTAGCACTTAGGGAGGCCGAGGCCGGTGAATTGGCTGAGCTCAGGTGTTCGAGACCATCCTGGGCAACATGTAAAACCCCATTTCTACTAAAATAAAAAAGAAATTAGCCATGCATGGCAGTATGCACTTATAGTCCCAGTTACTTGGGAGGCTGAGGAAGGAGAATTGCTTGAACCCGGGAAGGTGGAGATTGCAGTGAGCCGAGATCATGCCACTGCACTCCAGCCTGGTGACAGAGTGAGACTCCGTCTTAAAAGAAAAAAATCTTACAAACCACAAATATAGTGGATACACTACGGGATGATTAAATTATTTGTCTATTCCGTCTAAAGTAGAATACCTATGAGAAAAAATCCTTTCAAGACTTAAAGACAGTAAAAAAATAATTTTAGCACACTGGGATAAATATCATTTGATGCAGTTTATCATACATATCATTATTGGTCTTCTGGGCGACAGAGTGAAACATCGTCTCTTAAAAAAAGAAAGAATAGGTGTAGAGTGAGTCTAACTTTTGTGGTAGTTGCATGTGCTGGCAAATTGTATATAGGACAGAAATAAAAGTAAAAGTTCATCATCTCCTAGTGTCAGTCTTACAGCTTTTGGAGAGTTTTGGGGACAGGATGATGATATGTGTTATGTGTGTAGGGGTTATGTTTATGCAGTTGAATGAAAATTTTACACAAAGTTTGAGGATAGAACAAAAGATGTCAAAGAACATTTTTTTTTTTTTTTTTTTTGAACTGGAGTCTTTCTCTGTCACCCAGGCTGGAATGCCATGGCATGATCTCAGCATGCAACCTCCACCTCCTGGGTTTAAGTAGTTCCCCTGCCTCAGCCTCCTGAGTAGCTGGGATTACAGGTGTGCGCCACCATGCCTGGCTGATTTTCGTATTTTTAGTAGAGACGGGGTTTCACCATGTTGGTCAGGCTGGTCTCAAACTCCTGACCTTGTGATCTGCCTGCCTCAGCCTCCCAAAGTGCTGGGATTACAGGCATGTGCCACTCCACTGGGTCAGAAATTTTATACTGTGTAGTAGTCACTTTCAACTACAATATACTTGATTTTACCTTTACTGATTACTCAAACTTGTAAAAGTGATGACTCAGAAATTCTTTCCTAGGTACATTTTTCTGTTATTTTTCAAGATAGCCCAGTCATCAAGGAAACACTGATAAAGAAAGTCTGTTGATTCTTTAGTTATCAGTTACAGCAACCACCTGTGTGCAACTCAAAGACTGGCCTTTATCTTATGGCCAACAGTGGTTTCTCTTAAAATCTGCGAAATGCCAAATTTTTGTATCAGGTTCTCACTCTATAAACTGATGTCATGCTAAAGCTATTTTATTATTTTAAAAGACAAGAAAATATATTTTAAAAATAAAGTAGCACTTTAGTTTTTTATTGAAAATGCTGTTTTGCTTGAAATTTTTTTTTTTTTAAAGTTTTAACAGCCAAGTGCGGTGGCTCATGCCTGTAATCTCAGCACTTTGGGAGGTTGAGGCAGGAGGATTGCTTCAGCCCAGGAGGGCAAAACCGAAGCAATGTAGTGAGACCCATTTCTCTACAAAAAATTTAAAAATTAGCCAGGCGCAGTGGCATGCACCTGTAGTCCCAGGTACTTGGGAAGCTGAGGTCTGAGGATCACTTGAGCCTGAGAGGTTGAGGTTGCATTCACACCACTGCACTGCCACCCGGTGATAGAGGGAGACCTGTCTCAAAACAAACAAAAAAGTTCTCCCTAGGATTCCTCTGCCAGTTTGGCCAGTGTTTGAATCCTAACTAGTCATCCCCCTGTCATTTTCCATGGTAGTCAAAACTTCCAGGGTAGAAAAATTTTCCTGATAACAGATAAAAAGAACAATAAACAAAAAATCCTGGGGTCTTTGGTGGTATCCTAATTATGATAGCCTGTCATTTCTTTTTGAGGAAGCAACAATATTTTTTAAAAAGTGTGTGTGTGTGTGTATGTATATATATATATGCATACATATGTGTGTGTGTGTGTATATAGATACATAAAGTATTTATATTCTTTATTTCTCATTCATGTGGACTAATGAAAGCTACAGAGCAACAGGTTTTCTTCAGTTTTTCTAGCAGGGTTCTTTTTTTTTTACTTCCTGTAAATATGATTGGCAAGTATTTATGCACTTATATCCATCCACCATTACACCAAACACACTCCTATCTGTATATATGTATATTTTATGTACCCACAGGTATGTGTATATACATATACTCACGTTTTTTCTCACTATCTCATATCCATGTGTCTAAGGTGAGATGGTGTCTAATAGAAAGCTATTCTGTGGAAACATTTCTGAAGGCCACTAAAAAGGACAGATGGTTACAAGAATAATTATTTTGAGTTTTCCTAAAAACCTTTGCCTGATACTGCTGGCCATGTGCTTTTGATTGATTTGGCTTCCTTCTGCTTTCTGACACTGAAGGAGTAGATGTGAATGCTATAGGAAGGCTTACATCTCTTAGCGATAAGAGCCTGAGGCACTACAAGGAATCTTTAGATTAACATTTACTTATCACTAGTGATACCTCTTTCACTTGCTCTGTTTTGCCAAAGAACCTAATTGTGCTGCAAGTATTAGGGCAACTTATATGTTGAAGTCTGAACTTAATGTTCACAATTTTAATAGAAAAATCAAGACCACTGAAGTTGACAGCAAAGATACACTGAGTGACTTGGATTTTGGTTTCCAGCTTCAGAGTGAGCTTGCCATTCCACACACTGATTTTAGTGTGATTCATTTTTTGTGGGGAATAGGAAGGAAATAAGAACACTATAGCTATTTTTAAACTTGAGTTCTGGAAGGGACTGTATTTTGGGAGTCCTGACTGCCCATTCCCTCACCCCACTAAGCAGTTTTCTTGCTGTAATTTGTGTTTTTTGTTTGTTCATTTTTTTTAGTTTTTTTTTTTTTACATCAGTGGTTTTGTTGCCTTGGTGCCAAGTGAAATTTAGAAGTCACTTTGTATATCACATATCTTATCCCTAATCCTTGATTGTTGTTAACATTGATCATATATAAGATAAATTCCTTGATAAACTGTTTTGAGGGAAAGTAAATTTTCTTCTTTTGAAGAGTGAGCACTGTGACCTTTTCCAGCCATTTTAGTAACCTGTCTACCATACATAGATTTTCTTAAGAATATTTTTTAAGTTGTATATAATCTTTTAAAACCCTGTAGTAAATTCCAGAAAACCATTTCTGACCGTGCTTCTATGGTTAAGCTAAAAGCTAAAGAGTGCAATCAGGATATGATGAACAGCCAAGTTTGTTTTCACTATTTAAAAAAAATTTCTGGCATAAAAGTTCTGGATTCATTTTTTAATCAGTTTAAAGTTTGATGATATACCTCGTCAGTTGAATTAAAGGCTTAACATCATTTTTTTAATCTGTGATGACCTTATGGCTAGGTGAAAAGCTACGAGTACTTGGTTACAACCAGAATGGCGAGTGGAGTGAAGTTCGTTCTAAGAATGGGCAGGGCTGGGTGCCAAGCAACTACATCACCCCAGTGAACAGCCTGGAAAAACACTCCTGGTACCATGGACCTGTGTCACGCAGTGCAGCTGAGTATCTGCTCAGCAGTCTAATCAATGGCAGCTTCCTGGTGCGAGAAAGTGAGAGTAGCCCTGGGCAGCTGTCCATCTCGCTCAGGTATGAGGGGCGTGTGTATCACTACAGGATCAATACCACTGCAGATGGCAAGGTAAGACTTGCTGGTTACCACCTTTAAGCATGGACTGACTGCTCTGTGAAATATTCAACATGATTGAAGGGAAATACAGGTTTTATGTCTGACGTGAAATAAAATATTCACTAGCTTCGCGAGATTTGGCTTTTTTGGCATGTTAGAGCTTGCTGTCTTCAAAAGGATATGGTAATAGAACTGTAAAAACAGTATTATATTACTACTTTTAAAATAAGCTAGATTCGAAGGTGAAGAATGAAGGGAACTGCTGTGTAAGTTAACTGTTCTAATAATCAATACACAAATATGCACCCAATGCACTGGTATGGAATTTATCAATTATCTTTGTATCATTGAAAATTAGAATGATATTTACCAGAAAGTTCACAGAGTAAGAATTTAGACTTGTGAGCCTGGTGTCGATCCTTAATGTATATTAACTTAAACAGATAATTCAGTCATTGAACTGTTTGTATATTGGGAAGACCAATCATGTTAGAATGCACAGTTACAATGTGTTTATACGTCATAAACTACAGAGCATGAGCTTATGTCCATTGTTTTTCTGTTGAGCAGTAAATTTAGGTTGAATTATTTCATTCTCCTCTATGTGATAGGCAACTTGCGGGGAAGCACAGGCTTTAGAGCAGGCAGATCTGATTGTGACCTTACATAAGCCTCAATTTCCCTGTCTGTAATTAAATCCCACTTTGAAGGATTAAATGAAGTAATTCCTGTAAAATGTAATGACTAATTGCAAAGTAGGAAATAAGTAAATCTTTAGTTTTCTTTTGCTTTTGCATCACCATATATAGTATGTTTTCTCTTGACCAAACAGAACAGAATCCGGTATGTAATGATGTCAGAGTGACTCAGCAGTTCTAGTTATTTACCTGATAGAAATGAGTGCATATGTGTGCCGGAAGACATGTGCAGGAATGTTCATAGCAGCATTGCTTGTGATAGCCAAAAAACTAGAAACACACAAAGATCTAACAACAGTAGAATGGATTAATAAATTGTGGTATATTCATAAAATGCAGTTTCATTCAGCAACAGAAGTGAACATGGTACTACTACACACAACACCATAGGAAAACTATGGCCCTCCAACGGTCTCCTCTGTTTTGTAAATAATATTTTATTGGAATACAGCCGCACCCATTTGTTCATGTATTGTCTGTGGTTTCTATTACTAGGCGGAGCTGAGTAGTTCTAACAGACACACTATGGCCACAGCCTAAAATATTTATTATCTGGCCTTTACCAAGAGTTTGCTGGCCCCTACGGTAGATGAGTCTCAGTTGACTCAACTTCAACAAAGTTGAAGGATTAATATTAGCCAGGAGGTGAAGATGTGGGGATTGGAAATGACTGCTAATAGCCATGAGGTGATGAGAATGTTCTAGAGTTAGATAGTGGTGATAGTTGGACAACTTTGAGAATAAGCTAAAAAACCACTAAGTTGTGTACCTTAAAATGATGAATTTTATTGCAATTTTTATAAGTTGGGTGGAAGAAAGCAGACATAATACAAATTGTGTGATTCTGTTTGTATATATATAGTTCAGAAGCAGAGGCTGGGCACAGTGGCTCATGCTTGTAATCCCAGCACTTTGGGAGGCTGAGGTGGGCAGATCACTGGAGGTCAGGAGTTCAAGACCAGCCTGGCCAACATGGTGAAACCCCATCTCTACTAAAAATAAAAAAGTTAGCCAGGCATGATGGTACTGTATCTCCTGCCTCAGCCTCCTGAGTAGCTGGGAGGCACGCGCCACCATGCCCAGCTACTTTTTTGTATTTGTAGTAGAGACAGGGTTTCACCATGTTGATCAGGATGGTCTTGATCTGTTGACCTCATGATCCACCCGCCTCAGTAACTGATCCCAGTTACTCAGGAGGCTGAGGCAGGAGAATCGCTTGAATCTAGGAGGTGGAGGTTGCAGTGAACCAAGATCATGCCACTGCACTCCAGCCTGGGCAACAGAGTAAGATTCTGTCTCAGGGGAAAAAAAAAATTAATTAATTAAAAAAGCAGACACTAATCTAAGATGTTAGAAGTCAGCATAGTGGCTATCTTTACTAGGGTAAATAGCTGGGAGAGCATAAGGGAGGTTTCTGTGGTGCTGATCATGTTATAATTCTTGCTGTGGATGATGTTTATATGGGTGAGTTTACTCTGTAAAAATTATCAGTTCTCTGTTTATGAATTGTATACTTCCATGTATACACTAAAACAAAAGCTTCTTTAAAAAAAAAAAAAACAGGCTAGTCGTGGTGGCTCATGCCTATAATCCCAGCACTTTGGGAGGCAAAGGTAGGTAGATCACTTGAGCCCAGGAGTTCAAGACCAACCTGAGCAACATAGTGAAACCTCATCTGTACAAAAAATTTTAAAAATTAGCTGGGCATGGTGGCATATATCTGTGGTTCTAGCTGCTTGGCTGAGGCAGGAGGATCACCTGAACCTGGGAGGTCAAGGCTGCAGTGAGCCGTGATTGTGTCACTGCACTCCAGGCTGGGCAACTGAATGAGACTCTTATTTCCAAAAAATAAATAAAAATAAAAAAAAAAAAAAAAAAAGCCGGGCGCGGTGGTTCACGCCCGTAATCCCAGCACTTTGGAAGGCCGAGGCGGGCGGCGGATCACGAGGTCAAGGGATCGGGACCATCCTGGCCAACATGGTGAAACTCTGTCTCTACTAAAAATACAAAAAAATTAGCCAAGCATGGTGGCATATGCCTGTGGGCCCAGCTACTTGGGAGGCTGAGGTGGAAGAATCGCTTGAAGCCAGGAGGCGGAGGTTGCAGTGAGCCAAGATTACGCCACTGCACTCCATCCTGGTGACAGAGTAAGACTCCGTCTAAAAAAAAAAAAAACGGCCAGGCACGGTGGCTCAGGCCTGTAATCCCAGCACTTTGGGAGGCCAAGGCGGGTGGATCACGAGGTCAACAGATCGAGACCATCCTGATCAACATGGTGAAACCCTGTCTCTACTACAAATACAAAAAAGTAGCTGGGCATGGTGGTGCGTGCCTCCCAGCTACTCAGGAGGCTGAGGCAGGAGAATTGCCTGAACCCAGGAGGCGGAGGTTGTGGTAAGCCGAGATTGCGCCATTGCACTCCAGCCTGGATAGCAAGAGCGAAACTCCATCTCAACAAAAAAAAAAATCTCCCTTGGGAAAGAAGGCCAGAGAATGCCCTCTTACTTTATACTTCTTACTGCTTAGCAAATTGTGGCTCTTTAATGGCCTAGATACTGAAACGCACATCGTAATTAAAATTATAAGATATTTGAATACTCTTACCAAAAAAATCTAAATCAGTGGTTTTCAAGTTATGTTCTTTCAAGATTCTGAGGTGATATTTTGTAAATTTTTATAAGAGGCCAAGTCCTTGCTTGCCTACTTTGGTCAGGGTCTCTCTTCTTTACCTCTCTTATGTAGTTGAGTCCACAGTCTTGTGACTTAAAAATACTTGAAAGACAGCTGGGTGCGGTAGCTCACACCTATAATCCCAGCACTGTGGAAGGCTGAGGCGGGCAGATCACTTGAGTTTAGGGAATCAAGATTAGCCTGGCCAACATGGTGAAACCTTGTCTCTACTAAAAATACAAAGAAAAATATTAGCCAGGCAAGATGGTGCACACCTATAATCCCAGGTACTTGAGAGGCTGAGGCAGGAGAATCACTTGAACCGGGAGGTAGAGGTTGCCGTGAGCTGAGATCACTCACTGCACTCCAGCCTGGGCAACACAGTGAGACTCTGTCTCAAAAAAAAGAAAAAAAATATATATATATTTTGTATTTACATATATAGACACAGTATTTGTATATATGTAAATACCTATATAAATATGTAATTTTTTATAAACGCATATATGTGTATACAATATATATGTAATTACAAAAAAAATACATATATATATATATATTTTTGGAGACCAATGAGCTTGATGATCCAGAGAGGTATCTTGGAAGTTTTTCCCCAAGACTGACTAGGAAGAATAGGAAAGGCAGATTAAACTCAAGTTCTCTGTTTACCCTTGTCATTATCATTTAACTTTTTTATTTACCTCAATTAAGATAACCTCTTGCTGGGTATGGTGGCCCAGTCTGTAATCTCAGCACCTTTCCAGGCCCAGGCAGGAGGTTTGCTTGAGGCTAGGCATTTGAGAGCAACCTGGGCAATATAATGAGACCCTGTCTGTAAAAAAAAACAAAAAAAGATAGCCTCCTATCTATATCTTCAGGCCAGTGAAATATGGGCTTTAAAAAAAATTCTTAATCTTTTTTCAAGTTGTTTAGCTTTTCTCCTTTTCTTACCAGGTATATGTGACTGCTGAGAGCCGCTTCAGCACCTTGGCAGAGCTTGTACACCATCACTCCACAGTGGCTGATGGGCTGGTGACAACATTACACTACCCAGCACCCAAGTGCAATAAGCCTACAGTCTACGGTGTGTCCCCCATCCATGACAAATGGGAAATGGAACGAACAGATATTACCATGAAGCACAAACTGGGGGGCGGTCAGTATGGAGAGGTTTACGTTGGCGTCTGGAAGAAATACAGCCTTACAGTTGCTGTGAAAACATTGAAGGTGGGTTGCTGAGAATTACAGTTTTCAGGCATCTTTTTCTTTTGTACTCAATCACTTGGAAATATTAGCATGCTCTTCTTTAATTTGGACCGCTTTCCACCCACTGGTGCCAAGCACATCAGCAAATTGTGATGATTAACCCTAGTGCCACTGCTGACAATGCAGAGGCAGATTATTCACTGCAATGCAGTGAAACCCACATGTGGGAAAGGTTTGTCTCTGGAGGCTGTTGGTGTAGATCTTAGTGGGAGGTTAGAAGCAAATTAAGTTATAAAAGCAAAATAAGCTCTTTTGCTTCCTGAGAACGACCCCTGCTGGACAGAATTCTTTTTGCCCTCTCTGAGATCATGGCCTCTTCTTGTTCTGTCCTTTACCTCCCTGCTTCTTGTTCTTCCTGTCTCTTTGCAGTTAGATCACTTCTTAATGCTCACCAAAATCTTTTTCCTGATACTACTGTATGTCTCCTTTAAACATCCCAGTATCAAATTATAAGGTTTTCACTCACTCGCTTCTCCCAGAGCCTCAGTAACTATCTCTGGTATATCTCTCATAAGGGCTATTCTTTAGCTATAAGTAGTAGTCCTGTTTCTTAAGCATATTCTGAGTGTGAAGCAATGTATAAGGCCTTGCTCTCTAAGAAGATTATGATGTAATGAAGAAGACAAGTATGTAAGCAGCTAAGTGCTCTATCTCCTCATTCAAAGCCTGAGCTGTCTGAGGAAGTAAACTATGAGAGAACCGAACTCTCCAATGCAGGGCTCCTGTGTTTGATTTGATTATAGGACATGATTGCTAAATTTTGCTCCTCCTGCTAATTTTTACTCCAGGATATTTTTCTAAGTTGGACTTCTTAAAATAATTATTATTTTGGCTGGGCATGGTGGCTCACGCCTATAATCCCAGCACTTTGGGAGGCTAAGGCAGGTGGATCACCTGAGGTCAGGAGACAAGCCTGGTCAACATGGCAAAACCCATTTCTGCTAAAAATACAAAAGGTAGCTGGGTGTGGTGGTGCACACCTGTAAACCTAGATACTCAGGAGGCTGAGGCAGGAGAATCGCTTGAACCCAGGAGGCAGTGGTTGCAGTGAGATTGCATCACCTCTCTCCAACTTGGGTAACAGAGTGAGACTCCGTCTCAAAAAAAAAAAAAAAAAAACAAAAAAAACAACTGATTAAGATAATTATTTCTTAAAATATTCAAAAGATACTTCTTTTTACTTTTAAAGCTGAAGTTTTAGGATTGTGATTAAGTTGGGGGTTTGTCCCTTTCGTTTTCTTCTTTCTTACCTTTCCCTTTTTCCAGGAAGATACCATGGAGGTAGAAGAGTTCCTAAAAGAAGCTGCAGTGATGAAGGAAATCAAGCATCCTAATCTGGTACAACTTTTAGGTGCGGAACCTTGCCTGGACCAAAGATTTTCTCCAAAAGTACTTGCCCTTTAACACTTGCTATCTCCAAATCCCTTTTTTTTTTTCATTTTTAAAAATAGAGACAAGTTCTCACTCTGTTTGCCCAGGCTGGTGTTGAAGTAATCCTCCTGCCTGGGGGCCTTTCAATTTGTTGGAGTTACCATGCTGGGCCTTTCCCCCATCCTCCCAAACCCTTCTTTTGAATCACCATGGAAGAAACTGCAGGTTTGAATCCACTTCAATAAGTAGTTATAATTTTGGCCAGCAAGGTGGCTCATGCCTGTAATCCCAGCACTTTGGGAGGCTGAGGCAGGTGGATCACCTGATGTCAGGAGTTGGAGACAAGCCTGACCAATACGATGAATCCTCGTCTGCACTAAAAATACAAAAATTAGCTGGATGTGGTGGCATGTGCCTGTAATCCCAGTTACTTGGGAGGCTGAGATGGAAGAATCGCTTGAACCTGGGAGGTAGAGGTTGCAGTGAGCCGAGATCACACCGTTTGTTCCACTCCAGCCTGGGCAACAAGAGTGAAACTCAACCTCAAAAAAAAAAGTTAATTAGTAGCTTCCCTGTTTAAAAACTGCCCAAGAAACAGTGGTCTGGATTGATTTTCATATATAAAACTGCTCAGTTTGAAAGACAAAAAAAAAAACAAAACAAAACTGCTCAGTTTGTAGTAATTGCCCCAGATTCAAAGTTCAGAAGTGTTCAAATGGTACTGAACCAAAAACTCATGAAATGTTTTTGCAAAATAAAGAGGCATTAAACAAAGGACTGTTGATAATAAGCAAATTCACCTTTCAGGTCACAAAGAAGTCTCACTAAGCCTCTTTTACTTTTTAAAAATAGGGCCAGGTTTTTGTTTCTGCTTTTGTTTGGGGGTGGTGGTGGTGGTTGTTTTGAGATGGAGTCTTGGCTCTGTCCCCAGGCTGGAGTACAGTGGCAGGATCTCGGTTCACTGCAACCTCCACCTCCGAGGTTCAAGCAATTCCTCTGCCTCAGACTCACAAGTAGCTGGGAGTACAGGTGTGCACCAGCACACCTGGCTAATTTTTTGTATTTTAGTAGAGACAGGGTTTCACCATGTTGGCCAGGATGGTCGTCTTACCTCGTCATCTGCCCACCTTGGCCTCCCAAGTGCTGGGATTACAGGCGTGAACCACTGCGCCCGGCCTGTTTTTTTTTTTTTTATAGTCTCTCTCTGTCACCCCAGCTGAAGTGCAGTGGCATGATCCTGGCTTACTGCAACCTCCGCCTCCCAGGTTCAGGCGATTCTTGTGCCTCAGCATGCATCACCATGCCCAGCTAATTTTTGTATTTTTAGTAGAGACAGGATTTTGCTATGTGGCCAGGCAAGTTTTGAACTGTTGGTCTCAAGTGATCTGCCTGCCTCAAAAGTGCTGGGATTACATGGGTGAGCCACTGCACCTGGTCTCTTGTCAGTTTTTTTAATAAGGAATCTGCCATATATCAGTGAAATCCTTGATGATACAAGCAATGAAAATCTTTTTACAAAGCAGTATTACAGGTGGGGCTCACATAGTCTTTAGCATGTGCACAAGGAGGAGAGAGAATCACAGGCCATGTGCAAAACTCTAGAAATGTTGGTTTTCTTGGCTCCTTACAGAATTAATACAAGTAACGCTGCTTTTGCTCAAACAGACATATACTCAGGTGCATATGAATTCCCAGAGAGCTAGGACGGGAGGCAAAAGGACTCCCTTTTGAACCAGCTTAATTTTTGCTATATTAATTTCAGAGAATGTGGTGGTAAGAAGGGAAAGACTGCCCTAAACTAGACCTGAAAAATTGTCGAATTATTCAGGACCAAAGTGGTTTGGAGTGTTTGCATGTATATTAAAAAAACAAGCACTATTCTTCAACTTTTAGGTGTGTGTACTTTGGAGCCACCGTTTTACATTGTGACTGAATACATGCCATATGGGAATTTGCTGGATTATCTCCGAGAGTGCAACCGAGAAGAGGTGACTGCAGTTGTGCTGCTCTACATGGCCACTCAGATTTCTTCTGCAATGGAGTACTTAGAGAAGAAGAATTTCATCCATAGGTTTGTAAAACTTGCCTGTGACTAACCATTAAGCCATCTTGCTTGACATGCAGTTAAAAGGAAGAATATGGGAACCTTCCCAGAAAATTTCAGATGATTCAAGAAAGTAATTCTGTATTTCACAGTGCCCATTATTACATCACTTCTAACTTGTAAACCGACTATACTCTGAAGTATTAATAAAGGGCCTTTGCTAGTCTCAAAACTGAGAACTCTATTAAAAAAAAAAAAAATTGGCTGGGTGTGGTGGCTCACACCTGTAATCCCAGCTCTTCAGGAGGCTGAGGCGGGCAAATCACAAGGTCAGGAGTTTGAGACCACCGTGACCAACATGGTGCAACCCTGCCTCTACTAAAAATACAAAAAATTAACTCTATGTGGTGGCATGTACCTGTAATCCCAGCTATTCAGGAAGCTGGGACAGGAGAATTGCTTGAACCCCGAAGGCAGAGATTGCAGTGAGCCAGATAGCACCATTGCACTCCAGCCTGGGCAACAGAGCAAGACTCTGTCTCAAAAAATTAAAAAATTAAAAATAAATTAAAAAAACAAAATTACAGTCATGATGGGGTCTTGCTGTGTTGACCAGGCTAGTCTCAAACTCCTGGCCTCAAGTGATCCTCCCATCTTGACCTCCCAAAGTGCTGGAGTTACAGGTATGAGCCACCACGCACAGCCAGAGAGCTCTCTTATTTTGCCCAGCACTATAGCCAAGATCCTTTTTCACCATCTACTGTTGTTTGTTTGTTTGTTTTTAACCTTCTTGAGACAGTCTGGCTCAGTCACCCAGGCTGGAATGCAGTGATTTGATCTTAGTTTACTACACTTTCTGCCTCCTGGGCTCAAGCTGTCCTTGTCCTCCCACCTCATCCTCCTGAGTAGCTGGGACTACGGGAGTGTGCCACCCTGTTGGCTAAATGTTTTTTGTTTTTTTCTTTTTTTGTGGAGACAGCGTTTTGCCTTGTTGCCTGGGCTGGTCTTGAACTCTTGAGCTCAGGAGATACACCCACCGTGGACTCCCAAAGTGCTAGGATTACGGGCATGAGCAACCACACCTGGCCTAGGGGCTGAATTTTTAAAATAGTTTTCTGCTTTAGTAAATAACTGAAAGTCTTATAGAAAAGCATCTATTGCTCACCTATCCCAATGTATTTATAAATAGGGACCCATATTATAAAGCCTACTTTATTCTGCTTCTTGATGAGTATTCTACAGTGGCTTTCTAAGATGTTAGTGATTATCAAAAAATACTACCATATTTGTCAGCACTTAGTTAACTCTGCCTATAACACAAAGAACCAAGAATAGAGTGTTCATGACCATTTTCCTCACTGTCTGAATGGAATCACATATAGGGTTCTCTTTCCACAGAGATCTTGCAGCTCGTAACTGCCTAGTGGGAGAAAACCATGTGGTAAAAGTGGCTGACTTTGGTTTAAGTAGATTGATGACTGGAGACACTTACACTGCTCATGCTGGAGCCAAATTTCCTATTAAGTGGACAGCACCAGAGAGTCTTGCCTACAATACCTTCTCAATTAAATCTGATGTCTGGGGTAAGGTTGAAAGGGACTTTTTTTCTATGTCATTTTATTGTTTTAATAAATGCCCTTGATTCTTTAGAGCTTTTCTTTTTTATGATGTTCAGTATCCTCTACCTTTACCTGCCATTCTTCTTCAGTTATTCAGCAAGCATTTGTTAAGTACCTCCTGTCTGCCAGGATTGTGCTAAGAACTTCACATAAACAGAAGAATAGGTCTGACGTGGTGGTTTACGCCTGTAATTTCAGCGATTTGGGCTGAGGTGGGCAGATCAGTTGAGGTCGGGAGTTTGAGACCAGCCTGGTCAACATGGTGAAACCCTGTCTCAGGTCAGGAGTTTGAGACCAGCCTGGACAACATGGCTCCATCTCTGCTAACTACAAAAATTAGCCATGCGTGGTGGTGCGCACCTGTAATTCCGGCTACTCGGGAGGCTGAAGGCTGAGGCAGGAGAATTGCTTGAGCCTGGGAGGTGGAGGTTACGGTGAGCCAAGATGGTACCACTGCACTGCAGCCTGGCCAATAGAGGAAGACTGTCTCAAAAAAAAAAAAGTATAAAGAAGAAAGTTTAAAAAAAAGAAGTCCATTCCTTCAAGAGCGCTCACAGTCTAGATTTCATATTGCACTGGAGTGCTGATGATCCTCTCTCTGTATAGCACCATATTTCCATATTAGTTTTTTTTTTTTTTTTCTTGCTCTGTTGTCTAGGCTGGAGTGCAGTGGCACAATCGCAGCTCACTGCAACCTCCATCTCCCAGGTTCAAGCGATTCTCCTACCTTAGCCTCCCAAGAAGCAGGGACTACAGGCATGCACCACCATGCCTGGCTAATTTTTGTCATTATAGTAGAGATGAAGTTTCACCATGTTGGCCAGGCTGGTCTCGCACTCCTGACCTCAGATGATCCACCTGTCTCAGCCTCCCAAAGTGTTGAGATTACAGGAGTGAGCCTCTGCACTAGCCTCACATTAGGTTTTATTACTCATTTGCAAAGTACTGAGTCACAGAGCTTTCTTTTCAAGGGAAGCATTGATGAGGTTTCATCTAGAATTTGTCCTTACTGATCTTGTTTCTACTGCTCTGAGAAGTAATATGACTTGGTAGAAGCTTAGTGGACTGAATGATCTGGAAATTTGGATTGTGGGCCAATAGGAATAGTCATAGGATTATAAGTCACTTTTTACTAGAAATCTCAAACTGAAATAACTGTGACAAAATCAATTTTTTTTCTGCTCTGAATTTTATCTGATTTTAAATGAATCTTTATTTTAGCTGAGTTTAAAACTGTTATACTTATTAAATACAGTGGTTCCCCTTTATCCTCGGAGAATACATTCTAAGATCCCCCTGCTTGGATGCCTGAAACCAAGGATAGTGTCAAACTCTGGATATATCATCTTTTTTTGATCTGATAACTGAGAGGTCTTCTTAGTGACTAAGGGGTGGGTAGCATCTATGGTGTGGATACGGAGAAGCGTGGCTTGAGATTTCATCATGCTACTCAGAACAGCATGCAGTTTAAAACGTTCAAATTGTTTATTTCTGGAATTTTCTATTGAATATTTTTCGACCTTGGTTGACTGTGAGTAACAAGCTATGGAAAATGAAACCACGGATAAGGGGTGACTACTGTATATCAGAGACTTTTCTAAGACTAGTTGGATTACGCCCCAGCTTCTTAAATGCTCATAGTTTATTTTCCCTCACTGTAGTAAAGGAAATCTAAATAAAAATTGGGAAATTTAAATAAAACTGTCTTGAGATTCTATGCCTGTGGCAAATATTTTAGAAGAACAAGCCATGCTGTAAGAGTTGATAAAAGAGTATATTCTATGTTAATGTTGTTGTAACAGGGTGTGAATGTTATCTAAAATTGGGAAGAGAATTACCTAATTATGTAAAATGCATAATAAATCAGAGGAGAAACACTAAGTGCTTTTTAAAATTCCTTATGCAGCTTTTGGGGTACTGTTGTGGGAAATTGCTACCTATGGAATGTCACCATATCCAGGTATTGACCTGTCTCAGGTCTATGACCTACTAGAAAAAGGATATCGAATGGAACAGCCTGAGGGATGCCCCCCGAAAGTTTATGAACTTATGAGAGCATGTGAGTATTTTTGCATATTTTAATTTTGAAGCCATAAGCTAGCAGTTCAGAATAGTTAACAAAATTAGAAACTTTTCTCCTCTTAGTGCTGTTTGAGTGAATCCAGCCTCATGACATTTAAAGAGTTTATCATTGATCAGCCAGTTGTCATATCATATAGCATTGAGTCTTTCTGGAATCCCAAGAATAGTTTTTATTATGGCCCAAATATTGGCCCAGTTTCTCAGATACATTTGCATATTTAATAAGAGATTGAGTTTAGAGCTTAAGATGGGGAGGGCTGCTTTCAACTAGATAAAAGTGATTGCTAAAGACTATGAAGAACTGCGTACAAATACCTCTGTGTTGGATAAACAGAAGCATCTGATTGCTTGCAGATAAAAAAGTAGGGAAGTGAGTAGTGAATTAAATAGCAGTTGTTGTTTTTGTTTGCTTTGTTTTTTGTTGTTTTTGAAACAGAATCTTGCTTTGTTGCTCAGGGTGGGGTACAGTAATGTGATTTTTGACTCACTGCAACCTCCACCTCTTGGGTTAAAGTGATTCTCCTGCCTCAGCCCTTGAGTAGCTGGAACCACAGCCACACTCCACCATGCCCAGCTAATTGTTGTTGTTGTTGCCACCCCAACTGGAGAGAATGCAGTGTCGCAGTCTCTGCAACCTCCGCCCTCCAGGTTCAAGCAATTCTCCTGCGTCAGCCTCCCAAGTAGCTGGGATTACACGTGCCTGCCACCACACATGGCTAATTTTTGTATTTTTGGTAGTGATGGGGTTTCACCATGTTGGCCAGGTTGGTCTCAAACTCCTGACCTCAAGTGATTCGCCCACCTTAGCCTCCCAAAGTGCTAGGATTACAGGCTTGAGCCACCGCGCCCTGTTTAATCTTTGTATTTTTTTTTTTTTTTTTGAGACGGAGTTTCGCTCTTGTTACCCAGGCTGGAGTGCAATGGCGCGATCTCGGCTCACCGCAACCTCCGCCTCCTGGGTTCAGGCAATTCTCCTGCCTCAGCCTCCTGAGTAGCTGGGATTACAGGCATGCGCCACCGTGCCCAGCTAATTTTTTGCATTTTTAGTAGACGGGGTTTCACCATGTTGGCCAGGATGGTCTTGATCTGTTGACCTCGTGATCCACCCGCCTCGGCCTCTCAAAGTGCTGGGATTACAGGCTTGAGCCACCGCGCCCGGCCCATCTTTGTATTTTTAGTAGAGACAGGGTTTCACCATGTTGGCCGGGCTGGTCTTGAACTCCTGGCCTCAAGTGATCCACCTGCCTCAGTCTCCCAAAGTGCTGGGATTACAGGTGTGAGCCACCATGCCCAGCTTGAACTGCAGTTGTGTCTGAACATAAGTCTGTGTTCTTTTCTCACTGAACATTGGCGTTCTCTGTTGTACTTTGTCAAAAGTGAACTTTGAGCTCCTCCTTTTTGATATCCTTTTATATTACTGAGTATGTACAGTTGATTATACGGTCAGGCTGAGTTTGAAGACAAACTTTTACTTCTTCCATTTTCAAATGGAAGAAAACTTGTCATTTTCTAAACCATCTTCCCGTCTCTCCTCATCCTTTAGTAGAAGGAATAGGAGCTGAGGCTAAATAGAAGCACCAGCCTTAGAAAGTGGGTTCATGGCCAGGTGTGATGCTCACACTTGTAATTCTAGCAATTTGGGAAGCCAAAGTGGGCAATTGCTTGAGCTCAGGAGTTCAAAAGTAGCCTGAGCAATGTGGCAAAATCCTGTCTATAAAAATACAAATATTAGCTGGGTGTGGTGTTGCACACCCATAGTCCCAGCAACTTGGGGAGCTGAGCCAAGAGGATTGCTTGAACCCAGGAGGTCCGTGCTGGAGTGCAGTGTTGCAATCTTGGCTCACTGCAATCTCCACCTCCCAGATTCAAGTGATTCTTGTGCTTGCCTCCTGAGTAGCTGGGATTTCAGGCACCCACCACCACGCCCAGCTAATTTTTGTATTTTTAGTAGAGATGGGGTTTTGCCATGTTGATGGTCTCAGACTCCTGGCCTTATGTGATCTGTCAACCTAGTGCTGGGATTATAGATGTGAGCCACCATGCCCGACTTTCTTGGATATATCGACATGGAAAGGAATTAAAGGTTAACTTTAACTTAATAAACGAGGATATCCAGATGTCCAATAAGCGTATGAAGTGAGCTGAGATCGTGCCACTGTGCTCCAGCCTGGGTGACAGAGCAAGACCCTGTCTCCAAGAAAAAGAAAAAAGGAATTTAGAAAGTGGGTTTATTGGTTGGGCACGGTGGCCTAGCCTGTAATCCCAGCACTTTGGGAGGCCAAGGTGGGTGGATCACCTGAGGTTGGGAGTTCAAGACCAGCCTGACCAACATGGAGAAAATTCAAAAAATTAGCCAGGTGTTGTGGCACATGCCTGTAATCCCAGCTACTCGGGAGGCTGAGGAAGGAGAATTGCTTGAACCCAGGAGGCAGAGGTTGCAGTGAGCTGAGATCTCCATTGCACTCCAGCCTGGAGCTCAAAGCAAAACTCCATCTCAAAAAAAAAAAAACAAAAAACAAAAAACAGTGGGTTCGTTATACCTCTGAGTCTAGAGCTGAGAAGTGGGTATGTTGTTATCATTGTGAACATGCCATAACATGTGTCTAATAAGTACACATCATGAGGCATGGAACTCATTATTAGACATACCACTGGATATTGAATTTCTGCAAGGAGTTTTTAATATTTTCTTCTTCCGTTATGTAGGCTGGAAGTGGAGCCCTGCCGATAGGCCCTCTTTTGCTGAAACACACCAAGCTTTTGAAACCATGTTCCATGACTCCAGCATTTCTGAAGGTGAGAATCTATAGAATTTACTGTTGGTGACTAGTTCTGGGTAGTGATGGTGATGATAATGGTAATTACATTTCGAAAATGATTAACTTCTGTAGTTTGGGACTCTGTTTTATGATACTGAACTAATTTTTGACCTTGGTTATTGCTGTGTTGCTTTTTTGCTATTTTCAGTGCATCTTTGTGTCTCATATATTTTAAATTGAAGTTGTATTTTAATTAGAAATTTATTCATCTTCCCTTTAACATTAGTAAGTTTGGTAGCTCATTAAGCATCAATATTTAGGATGTAGGAAAGAGAAAAGGAAAAAATAAGTAAAAAAAAATTCTAACTCCCTGAACTGCATCTACAAAGCAGAACCAAGTTGTAAAAACAATATTCAGACATTCCATTTTTGGAAATAGATCTTAAGGAAATAAGAATATGAACAAAGATTTAACTGTAAGGACATTGCATCAGAATGTAGTTTATAATAGTGAGAAATTATGAACAACTTAAATATCTAGTGGACTGCAAATTATTACATTCATATAGCTGAATATTTAAAATGATATTCTTAGAGAGATATATATATCTGAAGCATGAGATTACAGGCATGAGGAGCCTCATACCTGTAATCCTAATCCCAGCACTTCGGGAGGCTGAGGCGGGTAGATCACAAGGAGTTTGAGATCATCCTGGCCAACATGGTGAAACCCCATCTCTACTAAAAATAAAAAAAATAGCTCGGCATGGTGGCAGGTGCCTGTAATCCCAGCTACTCAGGAGGCTGACACAGGAGAATCGTTTGAACCCAGGAGGGAGAGGTTGCACTGAGCTGAGATCAAGCCATTGCACTCCAACCTGGGTGACAGATTGAGACTCTGTCTCAAAAAAAAAAAAAATCAAGCCAAAAAAATGAAAAATAATAACATCAAATTTTAGCAAGCATGCAGAGTAACCAGAGCTTTCATGCAAAATAGTATAGCCATTTAGGGACAGGTTGGCAGGACCTGAAAAACGTGAATGCTCATATACCTTGTGATCCACCAGTTCTCCTGTGTTTGTGCCAGTCTGATGTGCATAGCATTGTCTACCAAAAGACACATGGCAGGATGATGCTAGCAATGTATTGGTAGTAACCCCAAGCTAGAAACAACCTAAACATCTATCAAGAGGAGAACAGGTGGATTGTGGTATATTCACACATTGGCATACTACACAGAAGTGAGAACCCCTGCCACATGCAGCAGCGTGGACAAATCTACAGACATGATACTGGGCAAAAGAAGACAGAAGAGTACATATTTTATGATTCTGTGTATGTTTTTTAGTACTCTCTACTTGTCAGTTCCTTCTCAGCTGTGTGCCTTTTCTGAAAAGAGCTCCCTTTCTCTGTTATGAAATTGTTCTTTTTATCAGTCCCCTTGTCTTCCTGACAGAAGTAGCTGAGGAGCTTGGGAGAGCTGCCTCCTCGTCATCTGTTGTTCCATACCTGCCCCGGCTACCTATACTTCCTTCCAAGACTCGGACACTGAAGAAACAGGCAGAGAACAAGGAGAACATTGAAGGGGCACAAGATGATGCCACAGAAAACTCTGCTTCCAGTTTAGCACCAGGTATGGGTCTCTAGGCAGCTAGAATCAAAATAGAAACTACCTTGTTGAAAGAAGCGTGGGATATGAGGCTTTTCTGTCCACTTTCATGCCCATCGTCCCTGAGGAAAGCATGGAGTCTCTTTCACCCACCTGTGAAGTCCTTGGCTCCACACTGCCAGTGTTAGTTGTCCTGATCTGTCCATCCATCATACAACTCTCCCTCCAGTTTCATCTCCTTAACCCTGGGTTCCCAAGTAGGCATCATCTTTACAGGTCCATCAAAAACTTTGCTGAACCTCATAGAAGGGAACAGATTGCGCAGTGGTTTTTAAAGAAAGGATGAATGTTGAGGTGATAACCAGCAGGTTATCTCCCCCCATTTGTAACCCACATCACATTTGGAACACCAGTCACTGTGCAGTGATAATGTATTTATTTTTTGCCACTGAGTCCCGCCAACGCCTGACATTTGATAAATGCTGGCAAAACTCTTATAATGCAGCCTCGGTAACTCAACTACAATAGAGTCACTTCCTGTCTTTCACATTACTGATCGGCTGTTTCTCATCAGGGTTCCTCAGAGGTGCACAGGCCTCCAGTGGATCCCCAGCACTGCCTCGAAAGCAAAGAGACAAGTCACCCAGTAGCCTCTTGGAAGATGCCAAAGAGACATGCTTCACCAGGGATAGGAAAGGGGGCTTCTTCAGCTCCTTCATGAAAAAGAGAAATGCTCCCACACCCCCCAAACGCAGCAGCTCCTTCCGAGAAATGGAGAATCAGCCCCATAAGAAATACGAACTCACGGGTAACTTCTCATCTGTTGCTTCTCTACAGCATGCTGATGGGTTCTCTTTCACTCCTGCCCAGCAAGAGGCGAATCTGGTGCCACCCAAGTGCTATGGGGGGAGCTTTGCACAGAGGAACCTGTGTAATGACGACGGTGGTGGGGGTGGGGGCAGTGGCACTGCTGGGGGTGGGTGGTCTGGTATCACAGGCTTCTTTACACCACGCTTAATCAAAAAGACACTGGGCTTACGAGCAGGTAAACCCACAGCCAGTGATGACACTTCCAAGCCTTTTCCAAGGTCAAACTCTACATCTTCCATGTCCTCAGGGCTTCCAGAGCAGGATAGGATGGCAATGACCCTTCCCAGGAACTGCCAGAGGTCCAAACTCCAGCTGGAAAGGACAGTGTCCACCTCTTCTCAGCCAGAAGAGAATGTGGACAGGGCCAATGACATGCTTCTAAAAAAATCAGAGGAAGGTGCTGCTCCAACCAGGGAGAGACCAAAAGCCAAGTTACTGCCCAGAGGAGCCACAGCTCTTCCTCTTAGAACCCCCTCTGGGGATCTAGCCATTACAGAGAAGGACTCTCCAGGGATGGGAGTGGCTGGAGTGACAGCTGCCCCCAAGGGCAAAGAGAAGAATGGTGGGACACGACTTGGGATGGTTGGAGTCCCAGAGGATGGAGAGCAGCCCGGCTGGTCTTCTCCAGCCAAGGCTGCCCCTGTCCTCCCAACCACTCACAACCACAAAGTGCCAGTCCTTATCTCACCCACTCTGAAACACACTCCAGCTGATGTGCAGCTTATTGGCACAGACTCTCAGGGGAATAAATTCAAGCTCTTATCTGAGCATCAGGTTACATCCTCTGGAGACAAGGACCGACCCCGACGGGTAAAACCAAAGTGTGCCCCACCCCCACCACCAGTGATGAGACTACTGCAGCATTCATCCTTATGTTCAGACCCTACAGAAGAGCCGACTGCCCCGGCTGCAGGACAGTCCACATCAGAAACACAGGAAGGAGGAAAGAAGGCAGCTCCGGGCGCAGTGCCCATCAGTGGGAAAGCTGGGAGGCCAGTGGTGCCTCCACCTCAAGTGCCTCTGCCCACGTCTTCCATCTCGCCCGCCAAAATGGCCAACGGCACAGCAGGTACTAAAGTGGCCCTGAGAAAAACCAAACAGGCCGCTGAGAAAATCTCAGCAGACAAAATCAGCAAAGAGGCCCTGCTGGAATGTGCTGACCTACTGTCCAGTGCAATCACGGAACCTCTGCCCAACAGCCAGCTGGTAGACACTGGACACCAGCTGCTCGACTACTGCTCAGGCTACGTGGACTGCATCCCTCAAACTCGGAACAAATTTGCCTTCCGAGAGGCTGTGAGCAAACTGGAACTCAGCTTACAGGAGCTACAGGTGTCTTCAGCAGCTGCTGGTGTGCCCGGGGCAAACCCCGTCCTTAATAACTTATTGTCATGTGTACAGGAAATCAGTGATGTAGTACAGAGGTAGCCACTGTTAGGCTGGTGGGAAAATGCACACATTTCTGAGGGGAGAGGGAAAGGGACTTGTTTTCCTGTGTTCTTGTTTTCAAAAAATGACTCATACTTGAGTGTGTTTATGTGAAGTACCTCAGATCCCTGAGTTCTCACGTTTACAGTTTCATCTCAAAAATAAGAAGCTAACCACAAAAGTATAGGAGAGGTAAATTATTAAGTGGGGGCAAGGCAGTAGGAGACAGGGTTGGAAACTGCACTGGAAAATCAGGGAACATATGTATGTCATAAGGAAGGCAATGCAGCCCATCCCTACCTGGAATGCTGGGAGGTGCTAGGCAGGGCCGCTCTCAGCTATACCACAGCAACTGTGCCCAGACCTGGGACTCTGGTAGATACTCATGGTGATTATGCTCCAATTTACCTAATGAGTTTGGTGGGACAGAAGAAAGCTGGGAATGTATAAAGAGAAATTTTTGTTCAAGGCTGTCGGAAGTACCCCTAGCCTTGCTTTCACAAGGCCATTGCTGCTGTAATGAGAACTGCAAATCAGAGTGCTACAATACAGAGCTGGGAAATGTGGCACTATCTGAATGCCCCTGTCCGGTTTTCTGCTGGTGTATTGGTTGGTGCAGGAAATAAAGAATGCTGGAAAGTTGAGTCAGGGAGATTGAAAACCTTCTCCTATAAAATCTTCTATAGATTAGCAGAAGTCACTTCTCCCAGTCTGGTATATTATTTCATAATGGACGAGGATTGGCTTCCTGCTTGCTGGTGGCTATCTGTAAACCATGAGTACGGGGGTCTCCCTAGTAGTCTTTTGCTGGGCAACCTGTCTTCCTTTATTCCTGATAGCGTTCAGAGCATTAACCAATGTCGATTTTGAAAATAGTAGTCCCTGCAGGTTCTCACAAGGGAATGAATCCTGTTCTGATACAGTTCCCCTGCGTATTGACACACTGGCCAAGGACTTGAGCAGCTGTGTATTTTTCTTTATCAACTAAAATAGCAGGGAGATGGTCTTTTCTTGAAACCCAGTGGCCTGTGACTGAAAGGAAAAGCTGGTCCTAATGGCTGTTTCTCTGTACCTTTCCCTTCACTTACCACTGTAAGCCCAATCTAGGTAGAGAATAGGGAGCCGAATTCTCCTCTCTATGGATTTGAAGTGAGTAATTCCCCACATTATTTTCACATGCTTTTCTTCTAGCAGATAATCCTCCCTACTCCCCACCCAATCATTGTGCTTATTTGTACAGATCTTATTTGGAATATTTATTTATTTTGTCATTTCACTTGTATTTTAAGAATGCATAATTGAAGGAGTAGTCCTTTTCGGGGAGCACCAGTTAGACCCTGGAAACCTAATGACTTCATCCTTAAATATGTTTTGCCCTTGAAAAATAGACCTTTTCCTTCCCTACTTAGTTATAGTTGTGGAAGCTAATTAAGATGGCATGGAAGTGAATCTGATGAGTTAGGTATTATTAATGTTCTTGGTATTGAGTCTAATTTCAATTACTGCTTCGTTCTCTTTTTAAAGCTTTATGAATACTTCCCCCATCCTCCCCAAGGAGAGCCCAGTACACCTGTATTTTTATCTTATTCTCTCAAAGGAATAGTAGCTTAGGAAGACAGGAACTCAACATTGAGCAGTTTTCTTCCTGGCTCTGTCATTGGTACACTGTCAAACCACAGCCCCATCTCTTAATCTGTTAATTAAGGTAATACATGTTCTCAAGAGTGTTGCAAATAAGTGTACAACTATCCCTTTGAGAGCCTCTCTGGAAAGCTCTTTTAGTGCAGTGTTGTTATGCTGAATGGTTTTTCATCTTATTTGCTGAGTAGAAAATATTTATGGAATTAAGATTGCTGAGAGTCTATTAATTGGGCTAGAATACTAAGGGGGAAACTGTTTTGAATAGAGTTTGGCATCTTTGACCAAGAACAAAACTGAGTTTTCATTAGCAAGAAAGGAAACCTTGATTCTTAACCATTGCTGCGCCAAAGGAGGCCCAGGTTAAGAGGAGGGTTAGAGGAGATGAGCAGTGCTGGGCATTCCTGGCAGGTGCTGGGTGATCCCGGCGGCATGTCACCTGCAGCTGCAGCCCAGGCAGCTAGTGATCGGGTTCATCTCCTCGTCGTTGGAAGAGAACTCAGATGTGAAAAACCAGCAGTCCTTCTCCCACCTTCTTTCCTGCCACGCTTGCTCATCATGCTTGTCCATAAACTTGAAGAACTCGTTTTAGCAGTTAGCCTTTTAAGGTCAAGAATGGGAAAGCTAAAACTTTAGAGTGTTATTATGCTGCTTTTTAGGTTTATCCCTGTCGTGGGATGCAGTTAAGGGATTATAATTGTTTTTCAGGGGATTTTTATTTGTTTGTTTTTTAAGCAGGGGCTCTGTTTTTCCCTTGAGAGTTCTGGAAATAAGCCTTGGAGAAACACTACTGAGTATATTTAGGCTCCCTGGTTTTCTCTCCCGACAACAATCTTAAGGGTAGGGGGTGGGGCTGTGTCTTACTCAGGGGCAGCACCTAGCTCTGTCTTGCCTGCAGTGGGTGCACAATTTATAAATGGAATTGATTTCTCTCCACACTATGAAGGGTGGCATTGACTTTTGGAGCACATCCCGTCCACATGATGCTTGAACTATGTAACTTCAGGGGTCGAGGGCTCAAGGTTCAGGCTGAAGAGGCACTGTCAACTTACTATACAAGCATTTATGTTTTTCCTTTTTCTACTTGAAAAGGACCAGCTTAAACACAAACCCTTATGTAAATTAAAAGGTTTGAGTCCAAAGCAGAGAAAACTGCTTCTAGAAACTAAAAGTGTAGTTTGATTTTAATTACCCTAACAGCGAAGAGGAAAGTCCTCTACAAGGCATTGACCGTTTTCTGAAGTGACTGTTATGCTGTGTCTGGATGCATGCCTTTGCCGCACCTGCTTGATTCCTTCCATGTACAGATCATGTGATTTCAGTGTAGATTTCCTACTTTAAAATGCAGTGCTTTGTGTTGAATACATCTTGGTTGTGCTTTACATAAAGTATTTCCTTAAAAGGCTTTGTGTAAAATTTAAATGTATATTTTTTCCTGTAGATTTCCATCATGATTTTCAGAGATTAGCCTTAAAAAATTTGGCCGCAAGAAATTTATTCAGTGTTTTCTAGATGACCTCTGTGCACAGAGGTCGTTATAGTGGAGACCCTTTACCAGCAGCATTTCAGAATTTAAATTAGAAAGCTTCTTAGGATTCAACTGTAAGTTGGCTAGTAAAATAGTCCCCAGGTAATAACGCATGCTGACTTTGCTAAGGCACTGCCCATTTTTATTTAAAGTCATGGAGATTTTGAGTTTAAAGGATGCAATATAGATAGTGGTTTCGTGTTTAGGCTCTAATGCCGGTCTAAAAGGCAAGTCATGTGACCTTGGGAGCCTCAGTTTCCTCATTGTAAAACAGGGATAATAATAGTAACTACCTCAGGGTTGTAAGGATTAAATGAGATGATGTTTGTAATAGCTCAAGTGCCTGGCACACAGTGAGCACACTCTGTAATGTTAAAACTACTATTAACACCTAGTCTAGGGATGCACAGCAGAATCCCCTAGGGTTAAAAAAAACACAGACTGATGGTTTAGCCCCACTCCAGATCAGAATTCCCGGTGGGCTGGGGTCTCGGCCAGTGTATTCACCAGTAATTTCTCCGGGTGTTTCAAACACCTATCTGAAAACTATCAGTACCCCAACCCTTTTTTTTTTATAGATTAAGAAACTAGCAGAAGATGGTTAAGTTACTTGCCCATTGTCTCAGTACAGTTAATTAGTGGCAGAGCCAAGGCTAGAATTCAGGTCTCCTGACTGTATGGTTGTGGGCTCTTTCCATCACACCTGCTGCCATGTGAGACACTGCCAAAAAGTGGCTCAGACAATCAGCCTGTGTGGTGCTGCACACTTTGTAAAGCACATGCTCCTGACACTCTGACCTTAAGGGGGCTTGAATGTGAAGTAATGGGAACACGAGCAAAGCAAGCATTCGGTAGAACTCAGTCATTTAAAAAATTATATGGGGTCATTCTTTTAGCCAGACCTCAGCAACACAGCAATGTGCACTTTGTAGTAAAGAAATACCAACCTGAGTTTTTAAAAAACCTAGTTAGTCCTACATTCCTTTTTCTTAAAAAAAAAAAAAAAAAAAAAAAAAAAAATTATTTTAATGACTGTGAGATAATGTATATGAGAGCACTTTGAGAAAATATCAACTGTAATATAATTAGAAGGTTGTAGTATTGTCTGTTTAAAAGATAAGACAATTGATTCAATGTGGATGGACCCTGTGGGGGACCTGGAAATGCAGGCATACAAAAATCACCTCTGTCATTTATCACATTTAGAAATATGAAACTGCTCAACGACTGTGAGCAGGTATAGCAAGTGTTTTGCTAAAGCTGTAGTTCAGAGCTGAAACTCGGGACCAATTTTTTGGTTTAATTGCAGTCTTTAAAAAGTAAGAATGTGTACTCACTCTAGAATCCAGAAGCTCTTCCAGGGACCTTGACTCAAGAAAGATGAGGCCCTCTTACTCTTCAGCATTTGTCCATTTGTCCACTGTATGCTTGGCCATCTATCTTAAGTGTGGTGGGAGTGGACTTGTCTGTTGATGTTGACAGTGTCTTTTTAAAGCTATGTCCTGCATGGTTTCGTTAAGTTTACAGCAGGAGGTGGATGGCCATAAAACCAGTGCACTCTGGGAATTAACTTTTCTAGGATTTCCTACCAGTTATAAATGACATCGACATTTGCCGACTCGTTTTCCTTTTCTAAAGAGTAACTGAATTTAATTCACCTATTAGAGTATAAAATACTTGAGAATAAATTGTATTGGTGGCCACTTCTGCCTTGCAGCTACATTTCATTCTGACCTCTCCTGCTCCCTTCCATTTTGCTACTGATGTCATTGTTATTATCAGGCTGTGCCCCTACCGGGAGTTGATGTTGGGTTGACGGGGTTATCTATATTTTTGTTCTTGACTTTTGAGTTTCATCATCTTGCATTAAATTGTTCCACCTGGAACTTGGGATTAATCTCTGTGCCCCAAGCATCTGCTATGACCAATCCTCTTTTTGTAGGGGAGTCTCTTGATTTAAGGATCGATAGGCTTCAAAGGTTTGTATCTCTTAGCTCACATCAGGCCAGTAGTAGCTCACTTCCTTTGTGAATGCCTGTTTCAGTATGGGATCCATAGGTATGTGAGAACTGCTGAAACCTCTCCCACTCTTAACAGTCTAGACAGCTATATCAGTTGGATGGAGTTCGGGTTTTCCAACTATTAGACTTAAAGAAATCTAATGCAAGGCTTGCCTTTTTTTTTTCCCAGCAGGCCAGTAGTGATACTGTTACTTGCTCTGTTCAGCACAACTGTAGTTCACTTGACCTTCACTGCCATTCCCTATGCTCCTTCATTACTGGGAAGCATGGGTGGGATTCAGAGCTGTGGGATGAGCTGCATCCTTCTCTGGAGCACTCACTCCCATAACTCTTAGCTCCAGCCTATCTTTTGGGAAGTTTACTGCAATGCCCAGAAGGATGAGTTTCTGCTTTTCCTGACACCTCTCTGAGGTATGTATTCTATGTTGAATATGTACAAGATGATACCTTTTGGCCAGGCATGGTGGCTCATGCCTACAATCCTAGCACTTTGGGGAGACCAAGATGGGCAGATCACTTGAGGTCAGTGAAACCCCGTCTCTACTAAAATTATAAAAATTATACCGGCGTTGTCGTATATGCCTGTAATCCCAGCTACTCCCAAGGCTGCGGCAGAAGAATTGCTTGAATCCAGGAGGCGGAGGTTGCAGTGAGCTGAGATCACGCCACTGGACTCCAGTCTAGGTGGCAGAGCGAGACTCGTCAAAAAAAACCAAGATGATACCTTCATTTCTGACTCAATATTCTAAATCCAAAGGACAGGAAATTAGGGAAGGCTTCACTCTGTGGGATCAGGATAAGGAGATCCCATACTACTTCCCAGGTAAGGAGGCCTGTGGCAGGTCGTGATTCAAAGCTGAATTGGAATGGCAGAAACTGCTAAGAGGCCACCCTTGGAGATTTGTGCCTTCAAAGATGGGTTTCATGAGTCTTACAGAGGAAAGGACTTGTCGGCTGGGTTGATTTTGCATGATTATTGAACTAGAACTGGTAGACATGAGCTTCTTGGGTGGCAGTGGCCCAGAGCCCCCATCTTTGAGAATCCCCCACTTGAAATGGTTTTCTGAGAGTGCTCACTTGGCAATTGCTGCGTTTCTCAAGCCCGCCTGGCGGGGTCTCGCTGAACCCTTCCCTCCAAGTGCACTTACTTCTTCGTCCTCCTGTACATCTATAGCTTTGAAATTGTTTACCTCTCCTAGAAAAATCTTACCTTTTAGCCAGAGCACAGTAGCAAAGCCGTGTTCACTCAGAGGGAGCAGCTGGCATGTTGAAGGGGAAAGGCCAGGCTGAGCACTCTCCTCAGACAACACCATGTCAGGAGTAGAATTGTGATACATGTCGTCTATATCTGTTCTGGGAGATTCTTTGTTCATCTTTGTACTCAAATGAGCAGATCTCCTACCTGTCACTCCAGGTTACTGAGCTGAACCCTCAGAAAGCATGCTCACAAGCCCTTTAGGACACGCTGGAGCCAAACTGTCCAATGTTAGCAGGCTTTATGGAAGGAAATATAGGGAATTGGGATAGTTGGAACTTGCTTAGATTTGCTTCTGAATCTGAGAGCAGGAGTTTTAAATCTTGTCATTAGGTACCATAAACTTTAGTTGGAGAATGGGACTTAAATTTTCACGTGTATGTATACAAATTTTCAGCAATTACAACACAAAAAGAATATGCAAATTTATGGTTTCAGAACGTATTGCAGGAATAGGAATGCTTTAGGGTCATCAACAGTAAACCTCAGGTATTGTGAGTGGCAAGAAGGCTAGAAGACAGAGATGATTCTGGTAGATAAGCGCCAGACAAACCAGCTCTCCTCCATTTTGACAGCAGTTTTTCACTGTCGCCACCTGTACTCCATTATGTGTTGAGAGGAATTTCTTGAGATCTTGATGATTAGGCCGGTTTTCAGTTAGTATTCAGAAACTAGAAAGGAACAATGGAATACTCCTCTTACGGTTCCTTAGGGTATGTGTTTGAAAACCCTCGCATCTCAGATCTGTGTGGCTGGTGTGCGTTTGTGTCCATAAGCACACCTGCTTTGCTGTCATGCCCATTACAAGAGGGGAAATAAGTAAAAGGAACCGCTCAGATCTTTCCTGGGGTGTACAGCAGTGGCGTGGTTGGTGTGCTGACTGAGCAGGCTGACTTAGCTGTTTGTGACGCATCCTAGGAACCCCATCTCCTCCCAGACCCTGCACTTTTCCTTCCCTGCTGTCTGATTCTCTAATGACTATCAGTGGACAAACGCCAGTTTTATGCTCTTAGTAAAAATAAGTTTAAACATTTCATGGTGGTTGACAGAACTCTGTCCTAAAACATGCGGATTCAGATTATTTAAAACTCATGTAACATTTATGCCAAAGGTCCCGCCCTGCAGATGTGTATGTGGTGCACAGAGGGTGAGGTTTGGAGCATCGGGCACTGTGTGCATTGCTAAGGGGACATAGTGAGACAATGTGGGATTTAACTAAAAACACATCAGTCGTGGGTCACACTACCAGTGTTGTCAGGTATTTGTTCTTAATTGTTAATGTAATATATTTTCGGTTGTTTGTTTTTCTAATTTAATTCTCTGTTGTCTGACTGTGAACTGCTAACAGTGTTAAACTTGATGTAAATAAATGAGGCCCTTGAAAGGGACTGCTCTCTGCCTGTCTTCTCACAAGGTTTGACAAGTTGTGTTTTGTTTTAAATAAAATTGCAATATTTTATTGGCAAAGTAGGCTGGAGATTGGAATGTTTCTCCCATGATTTTAGCTGACGGAATCTAAGCAGCATTTCTTTCTCTCTGTGTAAAACAGATGTCTGTAAGGTAAAGGAGCTGGTTTCAGCAAGCATCCCTGTGGCACATTCTTTAGAATGTCCTCTGTGGGGGTGAGTACTCCTTCGATGGATTACATTTTTGGAAGTGAACAAAGGGCATCATCTGGAGCCCAGGCTGCCGTGGTAAGGTGGGTAGTGCGTTTGTATCTGTGTCTTCAACAGGAAGTGACTGTCAAGTGCAATCTAATTCTCTCAAAATCCATTCTGAGGACGACTGCAAGTAAGTTTCAAAAGTGTTTTGAGTCACTGTAGCATTTATAGAGTAAGTGTGGAACCTCACAGGGTAACATTCTATTCTTGTGATCTTCAAGGTTTTGTGAATGAGTTACTGCTTTTATTTTTTGAGACGGAGTTTCACTCTTGTTACCCAGGCTGGAGTGCAATGGCGCAATCTCGGCTCACCGCAACCTCCACCTCCTGGGTTCAGGCAATTCTCCTGAGTAGCTGGGTAGAGACGGGGTTTCACCATGTTGACCAGGATGGTCTCGATCTCTAGACCTCGTGATCCACCCGCCTCGGCCTCCCAAAGTGCTGGGAGTTACTGCTTTTAGAAGTAACGTTAACTAGGTCTGGGTAGCATGCAAGTTGTGCATACATTGAGGCCCAATTAAAATGGCTGTTACAGCAGTTTACACATGTCCTCACATTCCACCTTCTGTCCTTTTCTCCCACTCATTTTTGGTTTTGTCTAGAAAGTCTTCTTTTTAGAATCTTCCAGGAGGAATGTCTCATTTTGATTTGACTTAATTTTGTTTTGTTTTTCTTTTTGAAACAGAGTCTCGCTCTGTCACCCAGGCTAAAGTGCAGTGGCGCGATCTCAGCTCACTGCTACCTCTGCCTCCTGGGTTCAAGCGATTGTCCTTGAACTGATTGCCTCAGCGTCCCAAGTAGCTGGGACTACAGGTAACTGCCATGATGCCCAGCTAATTTTTTGTATTTTTAGTAGAGATGGGGTTCATCACGTTGGCCAGGCTGATCTCAAACTCCTGACCTCAAGTGATTCACACACTTGGCCTCCCAAAGTGCTGGGATTACAGGCATGAGCCATCGCACCCAGCCAACTTAAAATTTTTTGACTTTATGATGGTAGGAAAGTGATACACATTCAGACTTTAAGTGTATACATTGTTTCTCACTTTCATTACAGTATTCAATAAATTACCTAAGATAGGCTGGGTGCCATGGCTCATGCCTGTAATCCCAGCAGTTTGGGAGGCTGAGGTGGGTGGATCACAAGGTTAGGAGTTCGAGACCAAACTAGCCAAGATCGTGAAAACTCATCTCTACGAAAAATACAAAAATCAGCTAGGTGTGGTGGTGTGTGCCTGAAAATCCCAGCTACTCAGGAGGCTGAGGTAGAAGAATCGCTTGGGGGAGATGGAAGTTGCAGTGAGCTGAGATCACGCCACTGAACTCCAGCCTGTGTGACAGAGCAAGACTGAGGAAAAAAAAAAATAGTCAACACTTTATTATACTATAGGCTTTGTGTTAGATGATTTCCTCATGTGTGGGCTAATGGAAAGCGTTCTGAGCATGTTTAAGGCAGCCTAGGTTAAGTTATGATGTTTGTAGGTTATGTGTATTAAATGCATTTTTGACTTATATTTTCAACTTATGATGAGTTTGTTGGTACATAACCCTGTCATAAGTTGAAGAGCATCTGGACTTGTAACATTTTTCTGCATTTGCTGTGGAAGTCACTAACCCATAGCAGCTGGAGTCAGACTGCCTGGGGTGGAATCTCCACCCCCTCCACTGACTACATTTGTGACTTTGAGCATGAAATTAAGCAGCAGTTTTATTAAGTTTATATTTTATTAATCACCTTGTGATATTGTGAGATAGTAAGAAATATGTGTTTGGTCTTCCCTGTTCCTGACAGAGCTTCTGAAACCCTTAGAATTTCCTGAGGGATAGGGCTGAGAGGAACGTCTTTTGTTACTCACTGTTCTGTCAGCCTTACCCAAGTTTGTGCTAATGAAGTGACTTTTGGAGAATGAGGGGTGGTTGCCAGAGGCAACCATGTGATTAGAGGGTTGGAACTTCAGCTCCACCCCCGACCTCTGGGAAAAGGAGAGGCTGGAGATTGACAACAGCCAATTATTTAATCAATCCCGGATCTGTAATGAAGCCGCTGTAAAAACCCTTAATGATGAGTTTCAGAAAGCTTCTGGGTTGTGAACAAACGGAGATGCTGGGAGGGTGGCACTCCCTTGAGGGATGGGATCTCTGTGCCACCCCCATCCTGACCCTATCCTAAGTTGTTTCCTTTATGATAGGCTGGTCATGAATTGTTTCCCTGAGTTCTGTGCAGGTTACCAAACTTAAGGAAGGGGTTGTAGGCCAATCTGTAGCCACGTCAGAAGTGTGGGGCACCTGGAGACCCACTACTTGCAATTGGTATCTGAAGTGGGGGAGTCTTGTGGACTGAGCCCTTAACCTGTAGGGTCTGCAACTAACTCCAAGCAATGTCAGAATTGAAATGTAAGACCCCCCAGTTAGTGTCAACAGATAACTGAACTGCTTGATGTGGAAAGTCCTCACATTTGGAGTAGAGGAAAAGCTTTGTTTTTACAGATCTTAAAGCTCTGTGTCCTGAGTGTAACCACCCAATAGGTTCGCCTACCACCTAGACAGAGCCCATTTATCAAGACAATTCATGCAGAGCTGGCTGTGCAGGCGGCAACCGGAGTTTTACTGTTACTCAAATCAGTCTCTAGGGGATCAGAGTTTTTAAGGATAATTTGGTGGGTTAAATCGTGGGGATTCAAAGCTGTTCTTTGCTGCCGAGTCAGTCCCTGTGTGGGGGGCACAGAACTGATTGGCAGGTCCAGGTGGGGCCATCTGGTTTTTAAAATGGAAAAATTTGAAAAGAAAAGACAATCTCAAAAGGCAGGTCTCAGGTCCACAAGAGTAACTGGGGAAGTTGTAAATCTTGACCTCCAGAATAATGGCTGGTAAGAATTCTAGATCCTCTCCTGACTTGGTAGCTGGTGGCCTTTCATTTGTTTTACAAGGGTTTAGCCTTTTGGGAAGGGCTGTTTAAACAAACTATGTACATGAAAATCCTTCCCAAAGCTAGTTTGCCCTATGCCCAGGACTGAACAAGGACAGTTTAGAGGTTAGAAGCATGATGGGGTCAGTTGGCTCTGGTATGTCACTGTCATAATTTTCTGTTTATGATGTTTGCGAAAGTGTTTTCATGGGCACTTTATAAAGAGGAAGTCTTGTCATCCTGCCACCCTGTGAGGTAGGTTCAGTTATGCTGGACTGGACGCTAGGGTTAAACTGCTCCCCCATGGTCTCCATTAAGTGATGAAACCATGGCTCCAGCTCATGTGTTTGGAACCATCACATTCTGCTGCTTGTCTTGGTTCCCAAGGTGAGAGGTTCACATCCTATGACACCAAACACAGCTGGCCAGTGCTAGAACGAATGCCCGCTGCTTTGTCTCTAAGACCTAGCTTTAACAGGTGTATTCAGAGTGTGTTTAGAGCCTGGTGTGCAGGAGGATCGGGTGGCCTGCATCTTCTGGGATGCTCGACAGAAAGCTAGTGAGCCAGCAGCCAACACTGGCCCCACCTGACTGTGCAGTTAGCCTGAATTCACTTGTATCCCATGAGGGGTATGCAACTAGACCTTTTTTATTGATTTGAATATTTGAGTACCTAATGTGGCTCAGGCTAGGTACTTTCTAACCTTGAGGCAGTTGAGTAAATGAGCAAATGAAGTGCTGAATGAGGGAGAGACAAGTGTTTCCATTTGTAAGAACTAAAAGAGGGTTGAGGAGGTCTTTTTTTAATTTTACTTTGAGATGGAATTTCGCTCCTCACCCAGACTGGAGTGCAATGGCATGATCTCGGCTCACTTCAATGACCGCCTCCCGGGTACAAGTGATTGATTCTCCTGCCTCAGCCTCCCCAGTAGCTGCAACTACAGGTGCGTGCCACAATACCTGGCTAATCTTTACATTTTTAGTAGAGATGGGGTTTCACCATGTCAGCCAGGCTGGTCTTGAACTTCTGATTTCAGCTGATTTCCGAGGAAGGCTTTAAGTAAGAAAGGACATGAGGTGATAAGTAGAAAGACAGAAAAGGCTGGGTATGGTGGCTCACGCCTATAATCCCAGCACTTTGGAAGGCTGAGGCAGGAGGACAGCTTGAGCCCAGGAGTTCCAGACTAGCCTGGGCAATATAGTGAGACTTTGATTCTCTTTATATTTATGTATGTCTTTGTGTATGTGTATATAATATAAAAAAGGAAAAAAAGACCTGTTATTCCAGAAGCACGGGAGAACAACCAAGAAAAGGGGGAAAGCACATAATCAACACCGTGTGTAGGCACAATGCTACATGTCTACATGGTGGCTTTTTTTTTTTTGGGAGATGGAGTCTCGCTCTGTTGCCCAGGCTGGAGTGCAGTGGCATGATGTAATCTTGGCTCACTACAACCTTCGCCTCCCAAGTTCAAGCGATTCTCCTGCCTCAGCCTCCTGGATAGCTGGGATTACAGGTGCCTGCCACCATGCCTGGCTAATTTTTCTATTTTTAGTAGAGACAGGGTTTCACCATGTTGGTCAGGCTGGTCTTGAACTCCTGACCTCAGGTGATCCACCCTCCTCCTCTGCCTCCCAAAGTGCTGGGATTCTCAGAAATGACTGCTTTTGTTTTTTACAGCTGGGAGTACAGGAGTGAACATTTTCATATGTAAGAGCAATATGCTCTCAAAGCCTCTTCAGTAGGACGTTGGCATAACTTGGCTCCACCAATGTGGTCCCAAAGCAAACTGATGTAGACAGGCAGACTAGTCACATACCCTGCCAGCTCTGTGCCAGTATCTGCCCTGTCTCTGCCAGGCCTCATTAGGATTACCCAGCATTTGAAATTCTGTTAGATCTTAGAAACAGTAAGAAAGTAGGCTAAGGATTTTAGAAAAATAGAAAATTTTAATCTTTACATATAACACGTCCAGACCCTTAATTGTTTTTAAAAAGTTTTTCCTCCCTTCCAAATCTGTGGAGCATAATAAGTCTTGGCTTACACTGACCTGATTTTTAAAGTATCTTGCTCTTTGCTGATCTGCTCATAACAGAAGCAGCTCGGCTTTCCTCTGGGAGCACCAATTTGAAGGCCCCCCCCCCAGCCCACAAACCTAGAGTGTACTCTCCACCCCCGGGTCACAGAACTTCATTCTCTCCTGCTCTGCAACCCAGGGACCCTATGGCCTCTGAGGCCCAACACCGAAGCTCTTCCTTGCAGAAGAGCTAAGTTGCTAAGGAGACCATCTGCAGTGTCATAAGCCCTTGGCATTTGTTGAGCTCCCGCATGGGGCTTCCTGCAACCACCTGGCCTACTTGCTTCAACCACATTCCATTTGGAATGTGTCTTTAAGGCACTAAGTGATCTCAAGAATTGGCTGTTTTTTTTGAATCCAGCGATCCAAGTTCCTATCTCAGTGGGACCTCAGGAAAAAAAAAAAAAAAAGGATTGGCTCTGCTTATGTAAGGCCTGCCTTTTGCACACCAGTTGTGTGTTAATGACTGCTGGATACCAGTCCACACCCCCTCAAACACCTCACCGTCCCAAACAGGGTGCTCCTACAGGTCCCAGGGTGCTGTTAGTGGAAGAAAGGCAGCTCCAGGAAGTCTCTGTCTAGCCTTCATGACAGAAAGTAGTTAATCCTCTGGGAAATGGACTTGCAGCCCTGGGAAGAAAAGAGCTGTTCCTCCTTGGGGACATACACCATCATCTGGGCGATTTCATCCAGCGTCTCTTCTGTATACAGGAGCTCCTGGCTCAGGAAGGCATCCCGCGCACACAGCCTGACGTGACGGTACTCCAGTGGCAGGAAGGGGACAAAGTAGTCAATCAGGTTTTCCCTCACAAGACGGCTGTGGCCAAAGCCATTGTCTGAAATCAAGATCAGAGGTACATGGAATCTGATCTGGGGCTGAACCTAGCTGAATTTGGGGGTGAGGGGATGGGCGTTGCTGTTTGTTTCTTTTAAACAGGGTCTTGCTCTGTCACCCAGGCTGGAGTGCAGTGGTGCTATCTTGGCTTTTTGCACCCTCCACCTCCTGGTTTCAGAAGATCCTCCCATCCTAGCCTCTGAGTACTGGGACCACAGATGTACACCACCACACCCAGCTAATTTTTGTATTTATTTGTTTATTTATTTTGAGACGGAGTTTCGCTCTTGTTACCCAGGCTGGAGTGCCATGGCACGATCTCTGCTCACCGCAACCTCCGCCTCCTGGGTTCAGGCAATTCTCCTGCCTCAGCCTCCCGAGTAGCCAGGATTACAGGCACACGCCACCATGCCCAGCTGATTTTTTGTATTTTTAGTACAGACGGGGTTTCACCATGTTGACCAGGATGGTCTTGATCTCTTGAGCTTTTGATCCATCCGCCTCGGCCTCCCAAAGTGCTGGGATTACAGGCGTGAGCCACCGTGCCCAGCCCTTTTTTTTTTTTGAGACGGAGTTTCGCTCTTGTTACCCAGGCTAGAGTGCAATGGGTGATCTTGGCTCACCGCAACCTCCGTCTCCTGGGTTCAGGCAATTCTCTTGCCTCAGCCTCCTGAGTAGCTGGGATTACAGGCACGCACCACTGTGCCCAGCTAATTTTTTGTATTTTTAGTAGAGACGGGGTTTCACCATGTTGACCAGGATGGTCTCGATCTGTTGACCTCGTGATCCACCCACCTCGGCCTCCCAAAGTGCTGGGATTACAGGCTTGAGCCACCGCGCCCGGCCCCCCCCTTTTTTTTTTTTAAGACTGAGTCTCACTTTGTTGCCAGGCTCGAGGGCAGTGGCGCGATCTTTTCAGTGGCACTGAAACCTCTGTCTTTTGGGTTCAAGCAATTCTTGTGCCTCAGCCTCCCAGATTACAGGCACCTGCCATCACACCCAGCTAATTTTTAGTAGCAACAGGGTTTCACCATGTCAGCCAGGATGGTCTTGATCTCCTGACCTCGTGATCCACCCACCTTGGCCTCCCAAGGTGCTAGCATTACAGGCGTAAGACAGTGGCACCCGGCCAACTTTTATATTTTTGGTAGAGACAGGTTTCACCATGTTGGCCAGGCTGGTCTCGAACTCCTAGACTCAAGTGATCTGTCTGCCTCAGCCTCCCAAAGTGCTGGGACTACAGGTGTGAGCCACCACACCTGGCCCCAGTTGGAGTTTTAAGGTGTCTCCAAACTGAAGGGCTGGGCAAGGTTGGATCTCGTCTCTCAACTCCAGGAGTGCTGTCTGCAGTGTGTGTCAAAACTCCACAGCTGTGTCTCCTTTAGGTAGTCTCCCAGTGAGACTCTTGGGGCTACTGCAAACTACTCTTTCCAAGCATTTCCAGAAAAGGAGCTCAGGCTTTCTTAGCACTTTTCCTGTGCCTATGCAAGGCTGCTGATATGAGATGACTATGGTCTGCCCTCTGTGGTGCCAAGTACCCTATCTACCTCATAAACACACATTCCAACAAACACGTTAACTAACCCCAGCTGTGGCTCTCACCAGAGGCATATTTTTTTGTGTGTGACTGGGAGTCAGTTACTTACCTATGGTTTCCACAATCTCTGCCTGGAGGTGGGGCTCCAAGTGTTCCATCGTAATTTCTTCCCGGGACCATCCATCCTTGAGCAACTTTAGGACCACCTCATTGATTCTATCGCCCCTGAGGTTACTGAAGGAGACAAGAGCTTGTTAACCCATTTCTTTATTATATAACCACCGAAGCCAACGCATGGGTGCCTGGAAGAATGGAGGCTGAGCGGCATGAGCCTTCTCTCTCTCCCAGGAGACCTTGTCACAACTCAAAGGTCTGCACAGAAAAGACATTGTCCAGCTTGGCCACCCATTCTCTCTCGTTCTCTTTTGAGACACAACGAGACTGCTAGGTGCAGGGAGCATAAAGATGGTAAGTGGTTCTTCCCCTTACTTCTGTGTGGTCTGAGGGGCATCCATGTATTCAGTTCCAGGACAGTGTGGCAAGTGCTAATGGAGGAGTGATCCAGTTCTAAGGAGAAGGCTTCAGAGGGAAGATGAGGATTCTGAGCAAAGAAAGACCAAGTAGTGATCATCAGACACTTGGCAGGGAAGGGATGGGTCAGGCATGGATGCACCAGAGAGCTTGTGGGGTTCAGGGGCTTTAAGTTGCTTAGAGGAACCAGAGTAGCAGAGGCATAAAAGGCTAGCCAAGGCTAGGGTGAGGAGGCCTTTGTCTGCCATATACATGGATTTGAGCTTAGGGCTGTGGAGAAGGGAGGGAAAAGAGGGTAAGAATTAGTTATAGGCCGGGCGCGGTGGCTCACACCTATAATCCCAGCACTTTGGGAGACCGAGGCGGGTGGATCAAGACCATCCTGGTCAACAAGGTGAAACCCCGTCTCTACTAAAAATACAAAAAATTAGCTGGGCATGATGGTGCGCGCCTGTAGTCCCAGCTACTCGGGAGGCTGAGGCAGGAGAATTGCTTGAACCCAGAAGGCGGAGGTTGTGGTGAGCTGAGATCGTGCCATTTCACTCCAGCCTGGGTAACAAGAGCGAAACTCCGTCTCAAAAAAAAAAAAAAAAAAGAATTAGTTATAGAGGCACAATTGAGAAACACTGTAATTGATGGACATGAGAAGTGAAAGGAGGTCATCAAAGAACACAGTAGCCTCAGGCTGCTTGCTGTCCCCCTTTAACAGAGGTGGAGATGAAAGCCTGGCTTTACACCGTTGGAATGGTTTTTGCTTGCCTGTGCTCTCTCTCAGGTTGTGATATCACTGAATAACTGGAATGATGGGTCTGAAGCACAGACAGATTTGGGTGGGAGAAAGAGGATAAGGAGAGAGGATGCAACCGTAGGTCTGCCAGCAGGAAGCTGGGATGGATGTAGTGGAGGCTTGAACCTGGGAGCACCTCCTCATCCTCCACTCCCTGCCCCAGCCCAGGCATCCTCTTCCCCCACCTCCCCTCCCTGGGCTGCAGCCTCAGCCAGCTCCACCAGCTCCTTAAACAAACCAAAGTCTTGCCCATCTCCGCATCAATGCACTCACGTGCTCTCTTTTTGAAGACAGTCTCACTCTGTCACCCAGACTGGAGTACAGTGGTATGATTTCAGCTCACTGCAGCCTCAACCTCCTCAGGCTCAGCTGATCCTCCCAGGTACATCCCACCATACCCAGCTTTTACTTTTGAGACACAGTTTCACTCTTGTTGCCCAGGATGGAGTGCAATGGCCTGATGTCTGCTCACTGCAGCCTCTGCCTCCCAGATTCAAGAGATTCTCCTGCCTCAGCTTCCCAAGTAGCTGGGACTATAGGCACACACCACCATGCCAGGCTAATTTTGTATTTTTAGTAGAGACAAGGTTTCACCATGTTGGCCAGGCTGGTCTCTTACTCCTGACCTCAGGTGACCCACCCGCCTCAGCCTCCCTAAGTGCTGGGATGAAAGGCGTGCCCAGCCCTATTTTAATTTTTGTGTAGAGACAAGGTCTCACTGTGTTCCCTGGGCTGGTCTCCAACTCTTATGCTCAAGTGATCCTCTTACCTCAAGCCTCCCAAAGTGTTGGGATGATAGACATGAGCCCTTGTGCCCAGCCTCCCTTGCATTTTCCTCGGGTCCAGCAGAATGAGGGAGGGTCAAGGACAGGGAACGCAGGTTAGAAGTGGAGATCCAGTATCTCCATCTCTTTCCTTCCACACCCAGCTCTGAAAGCCCCATGACACCCACCGGTGTATTAACGTTTTTGCTCATTTAGCCTATGACTGCACTCTGTACACCATGCTCCATGGGGACTCCTGGGAAATGAGGGGAGCTGTGTGGTTCTCTCCCTGTCTCAACCATTGGGTAGAGGTTGAGGCTAGGCAGGCATCCTTCCCTGCCACGCAGGTAAGCTCGGACTGTCAGATTGTCTAGCCAGGTGCCTCCTCAGAGGGGTAGGTGCCAATGTGCCTTTCACAACCAGAATTTACAGGAAGACAGCTCTCCACTGGAGCAGCCCGGCAGAACAGAGGTGCTCAAGATCAGCCACTCAGCCAGGCTTCCTCCAGCACCTGCCTATAGGGAAGCTGCTCACAAGACTCTTCCACTTCGACTCTGCCGCTGCCATGGCGTTACCCCATCCTGCATTCCCCACAGGAGGCAGGGGCTGGAGAGGAGGATCCAGGGTGCTGTGAAGCCCACACCATGGTACTCCCTCACCCAGCCCCAGGGGCACAGACTCCAGGGCCTTCTCCATTCCCCCGTCAGCTGCTTGAGAGCAGGAAACTGGCCTCTTTATTTCTGTAACCCAGTGCTTTGCACACATCAGGCACTCAGCCTTTAGTAAATAAAAGTTCATCTCCGCACCTGTGTCTGTACCATCTTCACCCTTCCCAATCTCTCCTGGTTTATCCCACAGCCAAAGTCCCTTTTATTCCACCATTTTACAGGTTTTAATCTCACCCCCTGACCCATAGCTTGAGGCCCCTCTGTACACACCATCCCTCCCGTCATTTTCAGGACCGCCACTCTGGCACCAGCATTTTATCTGTAGACAGCCACTGTCTTCCTGGAACACCTCAATTCCCTTCTACAGGTCACTGCTAGCCTGGGTCACTAGGAAATATGGACGGGCCAGAGGGCACCTGTCTCAACCAGCCCTCTACCCTGGCCAACATTTAATCTCACCAGCCCTTATCCCTAAGACCCCTTAAGTCTGGGGACTTAAGGCCTCACCAGACAGAACTGGTTGTTGCTGTAACAAACCCCATGCTAACTGCTATGTGCTTCCTAAAGAACAGCCACAGACACATCTCTTTGAGCCTTAGTGTCGTCATTTACAAAACAAGGACTGGACCAATCTAAGCTGTCCTCTAATGAATCAACAGGCAGCCAACAGACACACTGGGAGCCATGCTTCCATTAGTAAGTTCTATCTGTGTAGTTCTGTAATTTTTCAAAGTCCTTTCTATCCTTTTCCTGACACCACCACAAAGGAAACAAGGCTTTAATTACCCTTGTCACTTCACAGCTCCCATCGCAGAGTTCGACGTTCCTGTCCTGCCATGTGACCCCATTCCTGCAGCCTTCTGTATTTGGCAGACACAGGCGAAGTAGTTAATGTTACTTTCCTGTTGCCCAGCCATCGGACCCGATTCCCTAGCCCGGACAAAGGCAGCACCACACACACTCAACTCCCTGCTTCAGCTGCCACCTCCTCTCTTCTGCCACAAAGGGGAGGCCAGCAAAGCCTCTGGCAACTCACTTCAAACAGCAGGTTTCAGATTTATCTCAGAATAAAACTGCTGCTCTTCACGTAGTGTGACTTGGTCACTCTAGCAGTTTGAATCAGCTGTGCTTTTCTTTCACATCCAAGAATCCTTACTACAAGGGATGATTAATTGAAGCACATTATAGAAATCAAATCCCGAGATTCCAATATCAACACAGTGTCTCCCCAAGACATCGCCGGCCCACCTGAGAGAGCCTCAGAGGGCGAGAGTCTGCGCCCTGGACAGCCTGGAACGGACTATGTCAGCCCAGCTCCATGGCTGGAGCGGGGACCTGGCTCTCCAAGGCTGGGCACAAGCACACACCACAGCCACTAGAACCCAAGGGCACAACTTTTCCATTTTTCCTTCACATCCTTGTCACAGTTATGTGTCCTCTTCCCTGGAGCTCAGAGACTCCTGGGGGACCTCCCCACCCTGCTGTGGCCTGGAGGAGTCTGGCAGGGCGGCTTTTCCGAAAGCCCGCCCCACCTGCAACCTGCCCACAATCACATGGCCTTAGACAGTCCACCGAGGCAGGGTCACTGGGGGAAAGGACAGGCGGCTGGCCAGGGCTGGAGGGTGCTGCCATTGGGTCGATGGCCAAAATACTACAAAGGCTAATGTCTGTGTAGAGACTGCAGGGTCACCAGGTCACATTAGGCAATCATGGCCCAGGTGAGGTTTTCCAAGCTGAGAAGTGGGAGAATCTGCCTGGCTGGCACCACCTGAGGCCAGTAGACCCCTGTCGGGGAAAGGGAGGAGGTCGACACACACAAGAGATTCCTGCGGAAGGGAAAGGGAGGCCCAAGGTGGGGTCACCATGCTTTGCCCTGTGCCGTGGGAAGGACTGGCTTCCGCACTGGTGGGTCAGAGGGTCCTGTGGATTCCCCCACCCAGGGCTCAGGTGCAGAAGCTATAGAACACCCAGTGACTCCTCTGTTCGGGCTTGTCTGTATGGTGCAGCCTCCATCTGACTCGTTGCACCAGGAGATTTAAGCCTGGCTGCCTCCCCAGGTGGAAATAAACAGTACCAAATGTGGCCATAAGAACAAATTTGAAGAACGGACTGTCCACATCTCCTCGTTCTGGCCGCTCAAATCACACAAGAGGTTTCTCTCTCCTCTTAAAAATCACCCTGGGCGCCCCGCATTCTAAGCCTCCATAGCTTTACCTACAGACCAGGAAGGGCTTCCCATCACCACACAGAAACTCCAACCCAGCAATAGTTTAAACCTGTTTCACTTCTTTTCTTGAGATGGAGTTTCACTCTTGTTGCCCAGGCTGGAGTGCAGTGGCGCGATCTTAGCTCACGGGAACCTCCACCTCCCAGGCTCAAGAAATCCTCCTGCCCTAGCCTCCCAAGTAGCTGGGACCACAGGCTCACACCACCATGCCCGGCTAATTTTTGTATTTTTGGTAGAGACGGGGTTTCACCATGTGGCCCAGGCTGGTCTCAAACTCCTGGACTTAAGGGACCTGCCTGCCTTGGCTTCCCAAAGGGCTGAAATTACAGGCATGAGCCACCACAGCTGGCTGCTGCTTTCTGTACTGGAGTTTGTGCTGGTTTTTCTTGAGGAAAAGGTTCTGAACCTGGGGACGTGTGGAAGCCTCCACTGCCAGCTAGTATCTTCCCGTCCCCCAGCCCCCTTGACCACTGTTCCCCAGAACTCACCTGAGAAACAGAAAGATAGTCCATGGAGACTCGGCCCTGTCATCCTCAGGGGCCCGGCGTTCTAAGGGTGGCCCAAGCACCTCCAGCAGCCCTGGGTGCAGCTTCTCAGCCTCGTCAAAGATGAACAGGGTCTGATAGCAGAGCTGCTGCATCTCCCGGATCTGGCCCTTTAGCTGTTCCTGCAAGGGATATAGGGAGCAGCTGGGTAACTGGCCACACCTTCCACCTCCAGCCTTGAGGGCATGGTTCCCCTGGGCATGTGCAATGGGGGCGGGCCTAGGATATTTGCATCTGATCAGCTTCCCAGGTGATTCTCATGCACACTGAGAGTTGAATGCTAAACACAGTGGAGCCAGCCTGTCCTGAACGCCCAGGTGCAGAGCGCCCACTGGCAGCCTGGCTGGGCTGAGCTCTCAGGGGAGCAAGCCTGCTGAAGGGCTGTCTCGGCCCAACCAACCTTGGACTTGGCTCCTGCAAGGGGCTGTGGCGGGTTCCTTGCCCCAGGCTGAGAACCTTCAAGTGAAAAGTAAACCCTCAAGTGAAAAGATGGTTCTCTGCAATGTTCATCAAAACGGGCAAGGAATATATTATTTAGAGCCAGCTCCCACCCCAGGGCCCATACTCCCTGTCTACTGGGTGCACCCGTGTAGGGGAAGGCTTGCGGTGTAAGGGTGTGCCATGCCAGTTTTCATAGCAGAGATGCTGGGGTCACAGCAGTTTTGCCACAGTCTAAGCCAGATAGCTCTTCCTGGAGAGGCCCAGCTCACCCTGCCCCTGCCCTCCAAAGCCATATGGAAATTGCCAGGAGACGGGGGCAAGTCTCTGTCCTCTAATGCTGACAGAATCTTCCCAGGTGAGCACATTCCAAACATTAGAACAGAAACCCAAAGCCAGGTGCAGCCCTCTCTGTCAGGCTCAGCAGGGTTCAGTCCTCTGGCGGTATGTTTTCAATACTACATGTCTGAATTAGAAGAAACCCAAAATAGCAAAATAGCCAAGGAAATTTGTCCATCCACTCGCTGGTATATAATAAGCCCATATGGGAAGACATGGAAAATCTGTAAGATAGGACAGACCTGTGTCTTAAAAAGACAGGATATGAAACTTTCTGTCCAACGTAGTCACAATGACATAAAGATCGTGGACAAAGGTTCACACCAAAGGTAGCAGATAAAATGCGAACTCTCCTTAGCTGACACGGGTGTGTCCATGCGGAGAGCCTGAAAGTTTTTGCTTTTCTGTTTTTTTTGTTTTGTTTTGAGTTGGGAGTCTTGCTCTATCGCCCAGGCTGGAGCGCAGTGGCACAATCTCGGCTCACCACAACCTCTGCCTCCCAGTTTCAAGCTATTCTCCTGCCTCAGCCTCCTGAGTAGCTGGGACTACAGGCGAGTGCCACCACCCCCGACTAATTTTTGTATTTTTAGTACAGATGGTGTTTCACTATGTTGGCCAGGCTGGTCTTGAACTCCTGATCTCATGATTCACCCACCTTGGACTCCCAAAGTACTGGGATTACAGGCGTTAGCCACAGCGCCTGGCCCCTGCCTCTCTCTGTTCTACACTGCCTGTGACATTTCACTACTTCCCCAACAAAAATCAACATGCAGCGCCCAGCCTCTCGAGGGTGGCTGTTCAGAGGACAGAGCAGGGAGTGGTGTTTGGAATGCCAGTCACCTCCAGATGCTCAGAGCTTCTGTGAGGAGTGGACAGGGTGAGTGGCTCTGTCTGTCACAGGTTCTGCCACATGTCCCCACCTCACCAGGCTTCTCCAGAGCCTACTACCTTGCAAGGAAGAGCTGGCATGAGGGTCTTCCCCCCCCCCAAGCACAGAGGCCTCGCCCCAGCCCTTGTGGGCCTTACCTTGTATAGGTCCACATACTTGGGGTGAGGAAAGTGGATCGTGGCAATGAACATCCTGACACAGTCACTCCTCAGCCCATCCCGATACAGGTTCTCTGCCAGCATCCTCGCCACGAAGTTCTTCCCTGTGCCAGACCAGCCATGGAACGACAGAGCAAGGGCCTTGTCTGGCTGCGGCGTCTCTAGGTAGCCCCTCACCGTACTTAGAACCAGCTGCTGGACCAAATGCTGGCCATGCAGCCGCACATTCAGGTCCCACTCTAAGCCTAAGGGCAGGAAAGAGGCAGTCACAGTGAGAGGCACACACAGGCTCATCCCCCACAACAGCCAGCAGCCCAGAAACCAAGCCACTCTGAATCTCTCAGGTGGGATCAGTTACTCCTCCTGTTTGGCCTTAGAGTAAGAAGCCAGGAGACAGATCTTGCTGTAGAAGGGATTCAAGGACTACTTTCTTTTCTTTTTTTTTTGAGATGGAGTCTCGCTCTGTCACCCAGGCTGGAGTGTAATGGCACAATCTTGGCTCATCGAAACCTCCACCTGCCGGGTTCAAGCGATTCTCCTGCCTCAGCCTCCTGAGTAGCTGGGACTACAAGCGCCCACCACCATGCCTGGCTAATTTCTGTATTTTTAGCAGAGACGAGGTTTCACCATATTGCCTAGGCTGGTCTCGAATTCTTGACCTCAGGTGATCTGACCACCTCTGCCTCCCAAAGTGCTGGGATTACAAGCATGAGCTACCACACCCAGCCTCGAGGGCTACTTTCTGAAGTTTCAGAAATCAAGATGGGACTCAGCGTGAGGGTGGTATCACCCTTCCTGAGGATCCTGCAGATACCCAGAACAGTTGGCACAGACGTATGGGGAGGAACCCTGTCCCCCATGTCCTGAGGCTGTTCCCATCCTGTGGTTTCAGGGCTCCGTTTTATGGAGAAGCCTGATACTCATTCTCATTCAATTCAGCCAACACTTGAGAGTATCTCCGGGGCGCAAAGTTCTCTGATAGGCCTAACTTCCTCTCAGCCAGGAGGCTGCAGGATTTGTAGACTGGGCTACCAGGAGCCGCGGTGGAGACAGGGAGGGTGTGCTGCCAGCTGTGGGCGACCTCCTGACCATTCCAAGTTCAGGACCAATTGGTCAAACACCTCAAGTCAGCCCAGAGTGGTTATTCTGGAGCCTTCGGGGGTCAAGGTCTATGATACAACATTGAGGGTATCACACATTGGTTTAAAAGTAGTAGGAACATAGAAGAAAATTAATGTTTGCTGCTTTTTTTCCCCTCTAAATTCAGAACTGGACTGAGTGTTTTACATTTAGTCTTACAATTCTGCAAGACAGGCATTATTCTTCCCACTAAAGCTGAGGAAACTGGCTGGGTGCAGTGGCTCATGCCTGTAATCCCATCACTTTGGGAGGCTGAGAGTGGTGGATCACTTGAGGTCAGGAGTTTGAGACCAGCGTGGCCAACATGATGAAACCCCATCTTCTACTAAAAATACAAAAATGAGCAGGGCATGGTGGCATGTGCTTGTAATCTCAGCTACTCAGGAGGCTGAGGCAGGAGAATCGCTTAAGCCTGGGAGGCAGAGGTTTCAGTAAGCCAAGGTCATGCCACTGGGCAACAAAGAGACTTGGGCATCCAGCCTGGGCAACAAAGAGACTTGGTCTCAAACTAAATAAATTAAATAAATAAATAAAGCTGAGGAAACTGATGCTTGGGGAAGGACTCCTCAGTTTACCAGCAAGGAAGAGGCAAGACTAGGAATCCAATGGAGGCCTCCAATTCCCTGGCCACAACAATTTGTAGAACAACAGGTATGTTGAGTAACTCGCTAATTGCCACTTAGGGTGTTTGTTTTTTTTTTTTTTTTTTTTTTTGGAGACAGAGTTTCACTCTTGTTACCCAGGCTGGAGTGCAATGGTGCGATCTCGGCTCACCGCAACCTCCGCCTCCTGGGTTCAGGCAATTCTCCTGCCTCAGCCTCCTGAGTAGCTGGGATTACAGGCACCATGCCCAGCTAATATTTTGTATTTTTAGTTGAGAGGGTTTCACCATGTTGACCAGGATGGTCTCGATCTCTTGACCTCGTGATCCACCCGCCTCAGCCTCCCAAAGTGCTGGGATTACAGGCATGAGCCACCGCCCAGCTGCCACTTAGGGTCTTAATCCAAGTCAGCAACGATCCAGAGTCAGACTTCCTGACCTAGTAGTCCAGTCTTGTGTCCTGAGCCAGACTGTGTCCTTAACACACTGTGTTATTGGCATTTTGGCCAATTAAGTGACCTAAATATCTAGAGTGGGCCCCATTTATGGAGACTGAAGGAGCTGGGATCAGGAGAACTCTAGGCAAGAAATTGCTCCTAAGGAAAAGAGAGGAAGCTTTTGCAAATATCAGAGCAGGCTTCAGAACTTGGGGCCAGAGATCACCCTGTGGGTGAAAATGCCAATCAACTGCAATATGCAAATCAAGCCACCCAAACTAATTAGAAAATACTAGGAAGGGAGTTTGTTAAGTCATGAGTCACAGGCAGCTGGGAGCCGGAGAATGCACAGGCATATTTCCCTGTGATGGGGACTATGAATTAGTTATAATCAGAAACAGTCTCTTCTTTCTCTCAGGGTGTGAAGCTGCAAAGGCCTCCCTACTGATCCCAGATAAACCAGGAAAGGAGTGCTGCATCACCCAGACATTTGTCAGCTAAGGGTCAGAAAGGGAACTTTCAGTTACCACCCACAATTTCTGATCAGTTCTCTCACTGGATACTTCCAGTCCCCTGTGAGAGGTCGACGTTTAGAGCAAGGTGTTCTGGGCCTGACTCTCCTTAAGATCGAAGATGTTGGATTATGAGTTAATCCCTGCAAAACTCTTAGCACAGTGCCTGGTAAGTGTAATAGATATTAGCTATTCTCTTCTTGGAGAGGCTCTCAGGGCTCAGACCGACATGACCAGAGGTGGGTGGTAAGCGAGCAGAGGAAAACCTGTTTAGACAAGGGACACATGGTGGTAATGAGGGGCCTGCCCAACATCTAGCGGTGCTCCCTCCTCCCAGCTCAGCTGAGTGTCACTTGTTCATGGCATTCCCATGGATCCTCAAGATCCACGAAACAGCTCAGTTTTGTCTGGGCTATTAAGCTAGAGGCTCAAATCCCCGAGTCCCATCTTGACTTAAGTATTTGGTACTCCAAAAACTTCAGTCGGACTGTGGCAGTTCCTGCTTGTGGGGAGGCTGGGCAGCATGACAAAAGGTCCCTTGCATCTAACCATTTCCCCTGGACAGCCTCCCTCCCCACAGATTCCCAGCCCCTTAAAGCCAAGCGGGGTCCAACCTGTAAAGTTGTTGGAGATTCTGCAATCCCCACTGGGGCAGCAGTCTCGGAAGCTGCAGTACCACGTGGTCAGGAGATCCAGGTACCGCTGGCCCAACAGGGGAAGGCGCCAGCCTGGAAAAGGAGGAGCCGTGAGACCGAGAGGAGACCATCCGGTGCGCGACAGTGATGCGGCAACTTTGCCACATGATTCGTCAGGGGCAGAGCGACACCCAGAACTGAGATCTCAACGCCCAGCCCGGGCTCGGCCCACTGTCGGCCCTCAAGCCCTGCGTCCACAAGCAGCAGGGGAGAAGGCAGTCACCAGGCGTGTCCACAGCGGACGTTCCCAAGAGCTGTCAAGAGCAGCACCTTCGAATGACGCCAGGGTGGGCTGGGAGGCGGCACAGGCGGCGCAAGCCAGTCTGGAAGGAACGGGGATGGGGGCGGCGGGGGCGGGAAGCCGGGCCCCAGAGGGTGCCGGCGCCGCGGGTGGGGCCGGGCGGTGTTGGGCTCCTGACTCCGCGGAGGCTGCGGCGCCCACAGCCGGTACCCGGGGCCGCGCGGAGCGGGACTGTGGGCTGAGACGTCGCCCGGGGCAGGAGCGAGGCGACCACAGCCGCGCCCGGATAGCACCCTGCTCCGCAGCGAATGGCGGCCGCGGGCACGGGGTCTTACCCGGGGACCCCGCGGCTGCCTCCTCGTCCTCGTCACAGTCGTCGGGCCACACCTGGCGGCTGAAAAGCGTCCAGTACCGCTTAGACAGGGCGGCGGCCGCCCTCAGCTGCTCCTTCAGGCGCTGGAAGCCCGGCCAGGCCCAGGGCGAGCGCGGCTCGTCGGTCTCCTCCCACAGCCTAGAAGCGCTGCGGGGCTCGAGCGCGCCCGGGAGCGGCAGCAGCAGGACAAAGAGCCAGAGCGGGCGCCACGGGCCACGAAGCATGGCGGGCCCGGGGCTGCAAGCCTCTTCGGCCGCGGGGCTCGTCGGCTTCACTTACGGCCGGCGGTGGAGGGGTTGGGGATGGGGGCCGGGCGTGAGCGCGCACTGGCAGGGGATTGGTGTTGCTGTGGCGACCGGAGGGCCGGGCAGAGCGCGCACTGGCAGCCTCCGCACACGTGACCTGGGCAGGAACCTGAAAACCCTGGCTGTGGTCGCGAGAGGCGGCCCCGAGACCCACTTCAGGCCGAGGGCAACTAACAGGCTTCCGGGAAGCAGTTTATTCTGGGTCGTGACTGGTTGCAAAGAAGGTGAAATCAGGCTTTGAAGTGGCCAGTCGGTCACTCCGCCAGGGCTTTCGGAGGGCTCTGGTGGCCCATCAGAGGCCTACGGAATAAGGACACTTGTGCTCTGCCTCGCCTCTGCAGCTCAACTTCCCGCCAACCTGTTAGAGAAGCCGGGAAACCGTCTCAGCCAGGAGCGGTAGGCGGGCCAGGGGAGTCAGCTGAGTGGAGAAGAGGCCCTGGGAAGGGCGCAGCTGGGTGCCTGTCTGGCCAAGGTTGCCCTGGCTCCCCCGCAGAAGGAAAAGAAACTGCAACCGAGTCCGCGAAAAGAAAGAGGAAGCTGATTGATGGGCTCGTCTGGAGGTGTTTGGATTTTGGAAACCCCCGAGTCATGGGCAAATCATAAGATTTACCGAGATCGCGGCACTGCACTCCAGCATGGCGACAGAGCAAGACTCTGTCTCCAGATAAATAAACAAACAAATAAATAAGGCTAAGTACTGTGTGCAGTACTTTTCCTGGCTAGGTTTGCAACTTTGAAGTGCGGTGACTGAGCAGCCCTTCTGACACCGCTGGCAAAAGACCTAGCGCTCTTCTCCATAGCGAGGAGCTTGGAACAAGGCTGTTAGATTTCAGAAGAGCTTAATGCATTGCTTAAAATCACCTGGCTTTCTGATGGCTGTAAATAGAAAATACATAAATAAATAAAATCACCTGGCTTACTGCAGCCAATGGCCAAAAAGCCATCTTGCCTTAGGAGAAAACTACTGTCTAGAGAGATGAGTGGACTTGGCTAGTGTCATATGTTTAGTGGCTTTGAGGTTGGGCCCTCCAGACAGTAAGGTGTCTCACCAATGTCGCAGGGAACTTGACTCACCGGTTCACCCCAGTCTCTTAAATCACACTCAGTGCCAGGTCTGCTCCATTCTCAAAAGCTTATCAAATTTGCCCCTGCCTTTCGTTCAAACGCCTATGGAAACCAGATAAGCACCTTGCTAGGACACCACAAGGTTCAGTTGAAAAGCAAAATGTTTGTAGTGTCTCATTCAGTGTGATGTCAAAAACTTTTCATGGAGTAGGAGCCATGGCACTAGCCCGGCACTGTATGCATCAAGCTTGTGGAATCCACCGGAAACAATTAACAATGCACACACCACAGCGCTTATTGGAAAACTAAAAAAATTAGGCCGAATGTGGTGGCTCATGCCTGTAATCCCAGCACTTTGGGAGGCGGAGGCGGATGGACCACCTGAGATCGGGAGTTCAAGACCAGCCTGGCCAACATGCAGAAACCCATCTCTACTAAAAATACAAAATCAGATGACGTGGTGGTGGGCATCTGTAATCCCAGCTACTCAGGAGGCTGAGGCAGAAGAATGGCTTGAACCCAGGGGGCAGAGGTTGCAGTGAGCTGAGATCGAACCACTGCACTCCAGCCTGGGCAACAGAGTGAGACTCCATCTCAAAACCAAAAAAAAAAAAAAAAAAAAAAAAAAATTACCTCATTCAACAAACATCGTTTGAGTCTGAATGGCAGTCTAGTATAGTGATTACCATTTTCTATTTGTGCAACCCTGGGTGTTACTGAAGCATCCTATGCCTGTTTCCTCGCCTATAAAAAAGGGATCATAAAATAGTCCCCTCATAGGGCTGCTGTGAAGATTCAATGAGCTTATTCAGTGAGTGCGGCATCAACACTGAATACATAGTCACTTTAATTTTTGTATCTACCCAGCCCTGGAGGAGGCTCTGGGTGGTCTATACAGGAGGCTAGGATGGCTTAATACTGGTGGTTTGTATGTGAATTTATGGTGAAAAATTTACTAGTAGTAACAACAGTTTATTAAAACCGTCCAAGTTATAAGAAGTAAAGAATTCTTAATTATCTGTGGAAAGAATTATCCCTTTCATGTAGGGATAACTGCTCATTTCTGAGATGTTCTGAGTTGGATTTAGCATCCCATGGTAAATAAAGTAGGTTAGCTGCAAAGTTCTTTGACAACCAACTTGATTTCAAGATTTAAAAAAAGAGATAAACACTTTTTCACCAGTCGGTTTTGTGTAGAAACAATAAATCCAAACACCAGTTTCTAGACACGTCTCTTGAGTATTTCTTTTCTTTCTTTTTTTTCTTTTGAGACGGAGTTTCGCTGTTGTTACCCAGACTGAGTATTTCAATAAATATTCATTTTGGTCTCAGGGCTTGGAGGCTGTGCTGCTTTTAAAGGTATAGGAGCCATATCTCATGAATGACGAGGACATCTAGAGGCTATTGGGAAAACTACAGACCGCTATGATTTTTTTCTTTTTCTTTTTTGAGATGAAGTTTCGCTCTTTTTGCCTAGGCTGGAGTGCAATGGCGCGATCTCGGCTCACTGCAACCTCTGCCTCCGATTTCAAGTGCGTCTCCTGCCTCAGCCTCCCAAGTAGCTATGATTACAGGTGCACACCACTATGCCCAGCTAATTTTGTATATATTATAATTTTCATAGAGATAGGGTTTCGCTGTGTTGGCCAGGCTGGTCTTGAACTCCTGACCTCACTGCCTGCCTTGGCCTCCCAAAGTTCTGGGATTATGGGTGTGAGCCACCACGCCTGGCTGACAGCTGTGATTTTACAAGCATTATGGTACTACTCAAGTGTGGTCCCAGAACCCCAGCACTGGCATCACCCAGGAGCTTGTCAGAAATGCAGAATCTCAGGCCCCAGACCTACTGAATCAAACCCTGCACTTTAAGGTCTTTCTTTAAATGAAAGTTGCCAGGTTATAAATAAATAAATAAATACGGTCTTTCTGTGCAGGGAGTCATGGCCTATGCCTGTAATCCCAGCACTTTGGGAAGCTGAGGCAGGAGGGTTGCTTGAGCCAGAGTTTGAGACCAAAAATAAAAATAGAAAATTATCGGGTGTGGTGGTGCATGCCTGTAATACTAGCTACTTGAGAGGCTGAGGGAGGAGGATCATTTGAGCTCTGGAGTTTGAGGCTGCAATGAGCTATGATTGTGCCAATGCACTACACTCCAGCCTGCGACAGAGCAAGACTGTCAATCCAAAAAAAAAGCCTAAGGCAAAATGGGCACACGCACCTTTACTGATGTAATCTGAATGTGACCTAGCTTTACAACAGACATCTTCCTAACCCCACTGAAGGCAGAGTCACAACCATCTGCCTTGGAAACACCCTGGTTCAAAAGCAAGTCTCGGCCTGGCACAGTGGCTCATGACTATAATCCTAGCATTTTGGGAGACCGAGGCAGGCGGATAACTTGAGGTCAAGCATGAGACCAACCAGCCTGGCTATGGTGAGACCCCATCTCTACAAAGAAACAAACTCTGAAAACATTACAGGAATATTTCCCAGCTCATCTATGTTCCTTTAACATTTATACAGCACTTGAGGTGGACTATGAATGTCCTCTCAAGAGACAGGGCACATAAACATTTCCAAGAACAATGAGAAACCTCTGAAGGGATATTTCTGGTGAGTCAGGTATTAAAAGTACTGGCCCAGGAGGCCCTCGATCCACTAAGCAAATAGTTGTGCATTTCCGGAGTCAGGGGTTCTATACACACTTCTTGTCAAGCCTGGATCAATCTCCCCTTTTTCAATGTGGGTACTGCCTAATCCAATCCCTCCCAATCCCCACCTCCCTGATTCTCTCCTGTTTCTTATTCTTACTGCAATTAATTTCTGTAATTCAGGCTCTTTGAGGGAAAAGACAGTCACTATCATAGTGGTATCCACAGCTCGAAGCACACTGGCGCAAAGATCTACTGATGACAGGCCAAACATCTCACAAATTATGATTTCATACCATATTCATTGGGGCTTTTACTGCAACATACCTTACAAAACCCTGCCCATGGAAATCCAGTGGTTATGACCATTCCTATCTATTTTACAAAATGAAGGCTGCTAAAAATCAGTTTTATAAGCAAACATACTAGGTAAAATCACCCAGCAACAGAGCCCTGCCCTCCCTACTCCCACCTACCTTTCTCAAGTCGTTCTGATATGCTTGAGAAGCAAATGAATCCTGAAATCTAGCCTGGAAAAGAATTTGTATGTGGTGAATCAGTGAGATATACAGACCAGGCTCTACCAGCCTCCCACATGTATTCACATACAAATGACAAAAATTAGCACAAATATGCTGCAAATAAAATAAAAATCTTTTAATTTTTTTTTAGATGAAGTTTCACTTGTTGCCCAGGCTGGAGTGCAATGGTGTGATCTCAGCTCACTGCAACCTCTACCTCCCGGGTTCAAGCGATTCTCCTACCTCAGCGTCTCAAGTAGCTGGGATTACAGGCACTTGCCACCACACCCAACTTTTTTTTTTTTTTTTTTTTTTTTTGAGACGGAGTTTCGCTCGTTACCCAGGCTGGAGTGCAATGGCGCAATCTCGGCTCACCGCAACCTCTGCCTCCTGGGTTTGGGCAATTCTCCTGCCTCAGCCTCGTGAGTAGCTGGGATTATAGGCACACGGCACCGTGCCCAGCGAATTTTTTGTATTTTTAGTAGAGATGGGGTTTCACCACGCTGACCAGGATGGTCTCGATCTCTTGACCTCATGATCCACCCGCCTCGGCGTCCCAAAGTGCTGGGATTACAGGCGTGAGCCACCGCACCCAGCAATTTTTTTTTTTTTTTTTGAGATGGAGTTTCACTCTTGTTGCCCAGTCTGCAGTGCAATGGTGTTATCTCTGCTCACCACAACTTCCACCTCCCAGGTTCAAGCAATTCTCCTGCCTTAGCCTCCCAAGTAGATGGGCTAGAGGCATGTGCCACCATGCCTGGC